TAAGCCCAAACTTGAGTAAACATTGAAGATTTTCAGCGTTTTGGCTGAGTTTGTGCTTTGGGAGTTGTCTATTGTTTCTAGTCTGTCATTATACAGCATTCTTGTTCAGCACGCGTGCAATGACCGCGCTTGGCTGACTTCCGAATGCTCACCGAGATATTCCCGTCTCGAGTTGGTTTAATTATTGGCTTGCAGTAAACCTATGAAAAAATGATATTTTTTTAATAGTAAGTAGATTTAGTGTGTAGCACTTCTTGATTTTTTTGCAAAGGCACAAGAAGCACGAGAATTGATTAAAAATTGTGAATTAAACCTCTATGTATCACGCGATGGCCTGGCTCACTGTACCAAAATTATCAAATCTCGGTGAGCATTCGGAAGTCAGCCAAGCGCGGTCATTGCACGCGTGCTCAACAAGAATGCTGTATAATGACGGACTAGAAACAATAGACAACTCCCAAAGCACAAACTCAGCCAAAACGCTAAAAATCTTCAATGTTTACTCAAGTTTGGGCTTATAGAAGATAATGTCACAGTTTTTCAATGACCATGAAATTCAGAGTCCGGGTAGTTAGTTAATCAATTGTGGCCCTGAAAAAATTTGAAGGAAAAAAAACTACGAATTTTTAAGAAAATGCTTTTTTTGTGAGAAGGACTCTTAAACGCTGACAAACGTCAACAAATAGCGAAAACTATAATTTCTATATGTTTGCTTTGCTCGAAATCGCGCGCATTTACAAGGCCCTAAAGCGTTTTGCTGACTTGCAAGGACCCATCTGTTATAACGATGCCCAAAATAAAGAGATGAATCTCATAGTTTATTAGATATAATCCGTGTAAAGTTTGCTTATCGTTTTCGCATAAATTATGACCTAAATTTGGAAACCGCTGAATTTCTCGAATTGGGTCTTTGCGATTTTGGTGAAACTCTGTTCAGCGCAAGACACTAATGCGCACTATGTGTAGCCGAGAGATTTTCAGGAAAAAATGCCGGCAACAGCAGATTTTCGACTCAGACCTCAAAGGGGCGTGGCATTATAATCACGTGACATTTACTCCGATCGCCAAAAATTTTATGTTATATGGTAGATTGATCTATATGTTATCCATTTTATTTGTTAGACTTACGATAAAAGTAAAGGTGGGGATACCAGAGAGCTTCAAACTAGGATGGTACCCCCCAAAAAAAAAAAAAAAAACTGGGTCGAGTCACCTTAAAGAATCCTAGTCTCGCTCAGCAAGAAGCTGCATGTACGGGTCACAGAATTTCTTGTCGTCGCTTTGTCAAGGGCTCTCGGTTGACCCATGAATTGCAGTGTCCAGTCCTAGAAGACGAAACCTTGATAAATGGATCACTGGAAGGTATGATTTATCATGTTTATCATGTTAAAACGTCGACGGAGGCTAAAACGTCGGCTTTGTTCTAGTTTTACTACACATTTCTCAATGCGATCGCATAAAAACCGCATTCGCATCAGTAGCTGATTCCTTTCAATGTCATTTCGTTTTTACATAATATTATATTTAAATTTCGCAAGAAAAAAAATGTATAATTGCATAGCGTTCTCTATTTCAAATGTATAAATCAAGAAGTTGACCGTGTGTCCAAGCAAAGATAAAATAGAAAGAAAATGAAAGTGTCGCTAAAAAGAATTAAATATAGCCCCGTTTTCAAAACTCGACGTATACCGACAGAGAAATTCTGATCGGGACGAGAACTTGAAGTGATCGCCGGATACAAAATGAGCCACGCGTCATAAAATCTATACATATTCGTAGTCTTTTTTCCTCAGTTTTTACTCAAACCATCATTCCAATACATATGCGTTCTCAACTAAGAAAGGGTTACGTCGCCAAGTAAGACGAAAAATGAACGGGTCAGAAACTGAAGAAATATTAAAAGAAAAATCGTCAAATAAAAGGACAGAAAATATCTCATCGAGCACAAAAAATCTTCGTGAGAGAGTGGGTTGTTACAGAGAGATTTCAGGTTATGTGTGACCTTTGAAGCAAATCTTGAGTGAGAGCGAACATGTAATAAGATTTAGAAGTTCCACGACTTTCGAATCTTTCATTTCGTTTCAGATATAGTTATGAAAGATGTTTTCACTCAATAATTTTCGCCTCAAACCAGTTGTGAAATTTATGACGCCATTTGGAAATTGAGAAAGATATTCCGTTTAATAATCTCCTGAAGATTTCTTCCTCGGTTCGTAAAGAGACCACGAGAGTGCAGTATCAATGTTAATTAAGAAATTAAATAAATACAAAAACAGGGACTCCAGTTTTCTTCTCTTTTTTCCAAGTCCGAGGTAATAGATCGAGGTAATAGATTACTTTTCATGTATGCTGTGGCTCGCAGTAAAAGATGCCATTTCATTGGATGAATCACTGACTGACAAAACAAACACTACAGCCAATAGCATTGCTCGTTGGAACATAGGTACAATGTCCTCTTAACTTGTTCCTACGAGCATAGAATGATGATTCATGAATATCACAAAACAGTGGGAAGAACGAAGACAAGACAAGAATTAAGGCTTAAAAACAAAAATAGAGTAGGTTTGTATATTTTTACTTAACCGTGGATTCTTTTAAAGATACGTTACGTATTCATAGTAATCACAATTTTCCTATTTCCCTTACTCTGCAGTCCTTTGATTTGTCCACTGAGACAACTGCGGTGCAACTGGAAATCTTAGAGGTAAGTTGTATGCCTCATAATAAATTAAACCGTGTCTGTGCGAGGTTTCGAAAAACATCTCCGTCGACTTTTTTAGAAAATGTTTTAGAAATAAACTCTTCAAAAGACGAATATTTTAAGAATGGTCAATTCTTCTAAAACTGATTAATCGTCCCAAAATGCGGTCTGATAATAATTTCGCCTCTCGTTGTATTAGCTTCACTCTTTAGAGTGAATTCTTAACTTGAACAGTGATGCACACTTTACACTTTTCGAATTTTTCAAATTAAGTTTTTAAAGGTTGCTACCGTGTGTTAATCATTCAACATGTGATATTCAGTCTATCAAAAAAGCGTTGCCAAAAATCTAAAAAGAATTCTTCAGAACTGACTGAGCTAATTCAAGGAGTCAAAAGTGTCAGAGTTAAGATTTAAAAAAAGAGAGAAAGAAACGAGGATATCTTTCGGGAATTTCACTGTCTGTGCCAGTTAAACCCCCTCAACACAAGAACCTGTTTAGCCTAAAATTTAAAAAAGGGTCTTATTTAAAAATGTTTTTAAAAAATTTTGTACGCTTGGAAAATAAAAAAGTCAACATTCAGGGTCGCGTTTGGAGACATAGGTGATTTATCAATCCAACTGGAATGTATTGGTATGCCGGTGATTTTATGTAAGGAATAAGCTGAATACAACTAAATACTCTTAGCTACAATGTAGTTTTTCTTTCAGATAATCAGAAGAACCTATTTATCGATATTTAAGAACCTAAATAGCCTAAATTTGTGCTAATTACCATTTATGTAAGAACCTGTTTAGGCGAAATTGGGAAAATGCAGGTTCTTAGTCGCTGGTTTTTACTGAATAACCTCTAAAGCGTCTTCGGAAAAGTTACACTGATAAATATTTTGAATGGCAAATTTGTCGCATGCAAAGTTTTCCAAAAAGTACATGTGCAGAGAACATGAATGATTGTCTTCATTCGTCAAATTAACACGTCAGTGCCCTTCAAACTTGGTTCAACTTGTATCTCAAAGGAAGCTTAGAACCCTTAACGCAAATACGCACGTGCACGTGTACTTGAGAAATTGGTAGGAGCATCTTTTTAAAGATTTTCTGTCATAAGTAAAAGCCATTTGAAGCGTCGTGACTTGACTTTGTATTGTGCAGATTTGTTCGTGTCTGTCTCGCTGTTATATTGCATCGTTTTTACACGTAAAATACAACAGTTTGAGCACTGGAATGTGATGAATTGCCTTCAGACGATCCCTCAATACATTGCGTATTCATGAAAAAAGAAAAAAAATAGACCCTCACTGATTATCATTCCTTTCAAGATTTATCTGGAAAGTATTCTCAATCAAAAGCTAAATTTTGCAGGAAATTTACTCCTCGCGAATAGATGTAGTATTTTTTTCAATGTCAAAGATCAGAGCTATTCAGTGCAACTGAAAATATTAAATAAATGCTGACTATTATTGTTTGTTTCTTCCCCGTGCTCATGATCGAAATAAGGGAAAAACTCAAAAGTCAGCAGAGGACTAAGCGTGCAGAAAATTTAAACTAACATGCACATCCCGCAATTCTTCCAACCGATGCTTTTCAACTGTCCAAATTTCTGCTTAAAAAGGAGCCTCGCCTAGGGCTGTTAAACATTCCAGTGCCAGCTCAAAGAAGAATGTTTTAAAAGCTTTTTTTGATATCACGTTCTAAGTAAACAGGCCTGTAAACTGCCAAACTAATTATATATTAAAGGAAAGCAAAACGTTATTTGGTACGAAGTTTTTAAAACCATATATATGGATCCGCTACGCCCCTGATTCGCAACGGTCGACTGGAGTATTTGTTCCCAGGGTCTTTCTCTATGACGTCGATAGTTGAGGCTAAAATTATTCCAAAAGTACAGTAACACAGATATAGCCCAGTGAGCAGTCAGAGGTCGGAGCTGAAACAATTCCCCTTCCCCATTCACGGTGGAAATATGAGTTTCCTAGTTTTTATTGATCCATTGTTAACATGTTTCCACGGAGAAATTCCTCAGTTACCGTAAGTGAAACCCAAAGCTTTCAAATCAGTTTTTCTACACGATCATGTAATTGTTTGTCTCAGATGTTTAATTTCAGTTCACCTCGCTGATCTTTCTTCCTTTGTTGATTTTTAAGGAGTGCATTTTTAAGAAAGCATCAGACACTACTGGGTTGCGTGTCTTCTGGAGTGGCACTCTTCGTCTCTACAACTGCCATGGATGCTGCAGACGATGGTATTTCACTTTCAACGGTGCTGAGTGTTCAACACCAGGTGCCATTGACGGAGTGGTCTACATGATATATGGAAATGGCAGGAAAAAGGACTTACACCGTGTACGTCACATAGAAGGAGTCTGTGAGAAAATCCACAAGGGTACTGTCCGCGTGGGATTCTGGGTCGGTAATTGTGCTAGTTACGGATCTGCTGATGCTTACACAGGCTGGAACTCAGTATCCCGGATATACGTGGAAGAAGTACCTCCCCCACAGGCTTAATAACAGCAGAGCCACAGTTTTTGTTTCACTTTCAAACATAACCATGAACAGAGTAATATTTCGGGGGTAATCAGTAAGCAAACTGAAGTAAATTTTGATTATTAGAGCCAGGGGTTTAGGTTTCCGCATTATTTCTCTTTTGAAAGTGCAGGATTTCAAGCTCAGAAGCTTACATTACATGTTACAAGGTGACAGCAATGTTTGAACGAATTTGTTATCTCAGTAAATAAAAGGGCTTTAAAATAAAATAGATTGCGTGCAATATGAATTTACTACCCTTCCCGACCTTTATTTTCCCTTTGTTATCTTCTTCTTGATTGTTTGGTTTATCATTTAAGATTATTTTTCTGTGCTTATATTCAGTTACAATTAAGTAACAGAAGTTAGCGTCAAATTCCGAGCGATTAGTTATCTTCAGCTGAAGGTCCAAAAAAAGGGGCACTCAATGACCGACCCTGTTTGGTAAATTTGGAGGTTCCCTAAATACTATTTATCTGTTTGGATGTCTCAGGGGAGGTTTAATCGTCTCAAAAGTTTGAGGTGGCGTTTTTGTCTCATCTGCTCTGAAACTGTTAGCTACCCTGATGGGTCCGATCGTAAGTTTGAGGACATGGAGGTAGCCGCACCTTAAATCGAAGATTCTACTGCGGAACGTTTTGAATTTTTACCGAAATATTTGGGAGACCTTTTTAAACAATAATCGCGCGCAATGTCTTGGTAATAAAATGAAAAACATAAACTCCCAAATTGAAAAGAATCGAATGAAACCGAATGTTTTAGAGGAATGTAATTTTTACCCACAAAATTCTAGCCTTTTTCGAGCTTAAGAAAGCTTTCGAGGCATTCTTTTCTCTTTCGAACCGAAATTTGGCTCGAATTTCATTTTGAAAGTGCGGCCATGGGACTGTCGTTGCAAAATGCTACTGATAATTTTATACGTAAAGAGCTAAAACTGAGCTCGTATGAAGAATAAGGTTACGGAAATAAGACCGCGATGATATAATGCTGAATTCAGAACAGAGAAAGGTCTTTTCACACTAAAATTTTAGTCACAGCCACATCGTCGAGGATGCCAAACTGTCACTCACGAAATCAAATTGTTGCTTGACCTTACTCGCTTAATGAGACAAAATATTTTACTGTCAGGGTCTTCAATCAGGTAAATTTATTCCTTTGTTGGGGAAAAAGAAAAGTGTTTGACCAGACATCAAAACGGTTCACTTATTGAAGGTAACTTTTACGCATTCCCAAACTTTAAAAGCTACAATTTAGCATCTGGAACAATGGAGCTGCAGCATAGTCCCCCACTTACAAAAAGATGTTTGGGTCTTTTTGGCTAAGCAGAAGAGCTTCCTTTTGGCTAGACAGAAAACGGCTTGGCTAGCATCAGAAGATGTGTTTCAGCGAAATTCCCAATAGCAAATGGGTTAATAATAATAGTAAAAATAATGCTGATGACGTCGATGACGATGATGATGATAATAACAATCGAAAAAGGAGAAGCTTATCATTTAGTTCCGAAGTCCATTTTATTGGTGAATATACGGGTAATTTGGAAGGTGAACACTGCCTTGGATTTAGTTCAATCTTTTGAACTCAATAATGCCGTTAAACTGGGAATGCACTTTTCCAGAAAGTTTCCATGACCACCCATTAGGCCACAAGGATTATACCTGAAGTGTTATACATCAGGCCTCAGTTGTTCAAAAGTTGGAACGAATTAGTGTTACGGAAACCAATTGCGCTATGAGTGAGTTGAGTTGAGTAATGAGTTGATCTGTATCAGTTTTTGAAGCCGTTGGAAAAACTCGCAGTCGTGTATTATCAGGTTGAAAAATTCTTGGCTTCGCCTGGAGTTTTTAAACCTGATAATACACTACCCGCTTGTTTTTTAAACGGTTCACATCAAATTATGAAATATTAAAAGTTGAAGTGAGAGAGGTCTTTCCAGATATTGACATTTTTCCTCTCATACAGTTGTAGCTACATGGTTTGGTAGCATATTTTCTTGAATAAATAAAAGTGTCCTTATGAACATCGCCACACCCGGGTGGAATAAATATGAAGAGGAGGTTAACTGCTCCCCAAAAAATGAGGCTAACCCGAAGGGTGAGGGGGAAATACAGCCAGGTGTGTGTTATAACCTTGATTATAGCTCCCGTGCTATCAATGTTATTTCTTCTGTAGGTCATTAAAAACCTACGATAAGTTTGAAGTTATTCTGGATAGAAACATAAGCACGTAATGCAGTACATGTTTTGGAAGTACTTCAGTAGTTTATAAAAGTAATAGCAGCCCCTCCACTCCTCATAGCGGGGAAATCCGAATGTCACAAAAAAAAAATTGATTTCATTGTGAAATGATGCCAGACCAAGAGAAAGGATTTCCTCCACTGCCTTACATTTTAAACGTCAGATTTTTTTAGTTACAAATCCCTAATAAGTATTAGGAAAACCAACTACGTCATCCACTGAATAGAAACTTATCCAGTAGATAACGTTATCCCTCTTTTGTAACAACTGGGGCCTGAACCTTTTCAAGATTACATACCGCCGAAAGTACAATTCCATCAAGAACGTCTTTTGACCAAAGCATTTGCTGTTCTTGCGCACTCATACATCGGTTTTCGATTGAAAACGTTATTGTAGGATGTCTAAAGAGCAAAATATCATTGTATTTTTTCTTTATAATAAGTCTGGCGGAATGCATGAGGCGGGGCAGGAGGGTCCTAAAAGAACTAGTCATGTGGGAGGGTGAAGGAAACATTATATTTATTTAGATAAAGAGCAATCAGGGGACACCTTTTGACCAATTGTTATCTAAAAACCTGTTTGATGGATTCGAGATAAATAAACAGCACCTTAGTTGCCGTGAGTGTTTCAACTAGCTGGCGTTCTAGCATTTGAATTGTAAAAGCAGTCAGCAGCCTCTACCTATTGTTTTACTTCGACTGATCCAGGATGATACTGTGAGATTACGAGGAAGATTTACATAGCAACAGTACTTATCTCCGAAGAAGAAAGCTGTTTCGTTTAGGCTGAATATCTCTGTCGATCCAGAAAGATAGATTTCCGGGGAGGGAATTGTCGTAACAGAAAAACCGTGCCCATACGTTGGAAAATTGGAATTAAGCCCCTCAATTGGGTGTGGCTCCAGCTTGATTTGACCACTGACTCGTCCCCAGTCGTCTCTTATTATTTCTAAGCGGTCAAGGAACGGTTGCGGGAGACTATTACGGCAATGGTGCGAAGGGGACGATGGGAAGGTGAAAGGGGAAATGAAGTCTTTTTCCTCCTTCCCATCATCCCCTGCACTTCCCTTTACCACGCTTCTCTCGTTAATATTAATAGGAGACTGAGAGACAACTGGGGACGAGTCAGGATTTGACCCCAATACTCCAACTCAATGACGGCATTTATTACTTTTATTTAGCTTAATCTTTATGCACAACCCTCAGCAATTTATTATGGGTTAAGAGTAATCTCTTTCCTTTCTGAACACCCTAAGTCAGACCAAAATCGGAAATTTCTACTGCTAAAAGTGACGACGAGGATCACCGTCATTTTCATATGGGAATCAGGCATATAAACAATTATTAAAAAATTACATCGATTCGAGATTCATTCTGCCTTGGAACTTTCGCGCAGCGGCTTTATTAGGCTGTCGCCTCGCATCCTCGCGTCTTCGCGACGCTGTTCCTTAGCAATAACTTATTTCTACTTACAGTGGACTCCCGATAACTCGAAACTTCAACGGAAATCGAAAAAAGTTCGAGCTATCGGGAATTCGAGTTATCGGGAGCTCGAAGAAAATAGCCGGGAGTAAGGAAAAAAACAGTTTTTACGGCACAGTAACCATTTTAATCACATTTAATTGTAGAAATGCCAAGTTAAAATTAAAAGATTCTTCTTGATTATAAATCAGAGTGTAACGTAATAAATAGCTTAATTAGAGCATGCGTTTTACTGTTTTGAAAAGTAAAGCTGTTTCACGTTAGATTTGTGACAAACAAGATCAGCCTCCACTAGTTAACTATAATATGCCTACAACACGTCAATGGGAAATTCAAAATTCAATGTTTCGAACGCCAGAAGACTTTTTTCCCCGACTTTTTAAGGTTTTAAGGGCTCAAACATGGTTCGAGTTATCGAGGGTAAAATTGCGTAGAAATGATCTGAGGGGAAACAAAAACTACTTCGAGTTAGTGGGAGATTCGAGTTTCCGAGGGTAAAATTACAGTAAATGTATGACGAAAATCCAGGGGAAATCGATTTTGGTTAGAGATAGCGCGAGGTTCTGGTTATCGAGAGTCAACTGTATTCCTTCCTGGGCGTGAGTAGCGCGACTGAGTTCGGCAAGGCAGTAGCTGACTACATTTGAAACACGCTCCAAGCCGTGGAATGCCTAAGTGTGAGATCGCGAGGAAATACGAGTTGAACCAAAATTAAGGGAAATCAGTTTTTTTACCTGATTTGCTACCGTACATAAACATCTAAGGTTCATTTCGTTTCTAGTAGCTTCTGGTCTCAACTCCTTTGACAGTGTCTGATCACAAGTATCGATCATACAATCATACAATTGAGCTAATTGTCAGCGAAGTTTCTTTGTAATCATAAATCATTAAAAATTTCACTGTTAACATTATAATGGAACTATAGTTTTTACAAATCGCGCTCAGACTCATGCTTGTATCAGACGTTTAAGAGTTACATGGAATTTTTTTAAGATGGAGGAACTGGATATCAGTTTCGGTTAATGGTCAATAGAGTAGGGTCCTATATTATGACAAAGCTCAAGATTTCAATTGAATTTTTCAAATTGAAAGTACAGTCTTTATTTTGAGCACTGGACCAGATAGACTCTGGTCGGCTAACAGAGGTCCACGGTTTAGTATCAAAGATAGAAGCATACATCCTGTAGGCAAGAGAAATATTTCCGCAAAAACAGTTTCATTTTTCTAGTAGTCGAGAGGTGCTATTTATTATGCAACGTATTGCTTACAGTGTATGTTACTAGAATGCAAATTTTACATCAGTACTTCAAAGTAAACAAGCAACACGCTCAATTTTCAAACAAACAGACCATGACAATGATTTCCGCATCCGATTTTTTGAGTAAACTTTTTAGTTAAATGAGAAAGCTTTGTACAAAGCCGGGCTCAACTACCTCGCGACTCATTCATGTTATGCCTTGTATCCGTGACTATCTCAGAAGATGACATTTTCAAAACTCAGTAAAGAGCAAGACTGAACTCAGCATCGCGTTTGCGGAATTTTTTAGACGGCTTTAAGTGGAGAAATCGCCTTGTTTACGATGAGAATACTATAGATACACTAAAGCACTCGTGACAGGCAGCAGAGACGACAATTTATTACAAAAGTATACTGGCTGGTCTAAAGTTTAACAAAGGGTCCTGTTTGAAATTGTCAGTATTGTTTTTAAGTTACTTGAACTTGTGTTTCGCGCTAACAGAAAACAAAGTTGCGGTAACTGAGGAGTGAATGTGTAGAAGAGCGTATTTCACTGGCGTCAGAAAAAGAAAACACATATTGAATAATGCAAATATACTATGTACAATCCAGTTCAGGCGTAGTCCTAAAACTTGGACTTCTCTCAGAATAGCATTCTTCATTATATAATAAAGCTTCTATAAAACAGAAATCGAACACCCGTTACCCCACCTTTGCTTCTCACCGCCCCACCCTCCCTTCGCTAGCCCAATTACTCTTCTAAAACCTCTCTTTCCTTATTTATACATGCAAAGAAAACAAAGTGGAAATTTCTCTTCACTGGAATCGCGATTTTTCAAACCACTTTGCATGGGAAAGGAAATTTGTTCCAGTTATCGGCATTTTGAAGATCGGTGGTAAACAGTGTTTGGCTGTTGAAGGGAAGCTAGGTTTGCTTCAAAATATGGGGAATTTCAAGACACCGAGAGTTCGAGAATCGTGATTCTATTGTACTTCACCGATCGCTCTGAACAACAGTAAAGCAAGATGGCTTGAAAGAATCCTTGTTTCGCTCAACAAGGAAGTTGCATCATAGATTAATTCCTTGTCGTCTCTCAGCTCACGGTTTGCTGGAAAGTATGTATTCAATAGTTTTATCATGTTAAAACTTAGACGGAGGCTAATATAAAATGTCGGTTCTGATCTAGTTTTACTACAAATTTCTCAATGCAATCGCATAGAAACCAGGAGCACCTGTCGACAGCTTTCTGTGGATTATCTGTTCGGAGAAGCAAATATTGCCTAGAATCTTCTATTACTTGAGGACGGCTAACACTTTCTAGATGACCGTTCCACTCATATATAATTTTCGAAACTTATCTAATAAATTCCCTACGATTTTCTAAAGTTTAATTTTCTCATTTCACTTCCAAAGTTATGCCATTTTTCGTGGAGAAAAGGAAACCTAAAATTTTCGGGCTCAAAAATTCAAAGGGGAGCTTGAGAAATCAGAAGATGTCTCACTTTGGTAATACGTCAAACTGCATCTAAGATTTTCGGGAAATTAATACTTAATCCCCTGTAATTTCGAAAATACACAAGTTCCCCTAGTGTGACAGAACAAAGTCAGATTTTATAACGTCACTTAGAAATCATTTCTAGACATCTAAAAGTACTCTGGATTGCCTAAAAAGTGTTATCAATGTATTTAGGAGGAAACCGTCCATTGGGTGCCCGTGAGAAACCGCATTCACATCAGTTGCTGATTCCTTTCATTTCGATTCAGTTACTCGATCGACTTCGGAATACAAAAATGTACAATTTCATAGCACATATCAATGAAGAAGTTGATCATGTGTCCAAGCAAAGATAAAATAGAAATAAAATACTGAAAAGTGTCGTTAAAAACTGAACTATTAAATATAACCCAGTTTCCAAAAAACGACGTATAGCGACAGAGAATCTCTGATCGGGACTAGAAATTAAAGTGACCGATTGATACAAAAAGAGCCATGCGTCATAAAATCTATACATTTTCGCAGTCTTTTTTCCTCAGTCAGTTTACTCAAGCCATCATCCCAGTACATTTGCGTTCTCAACCAAGAAGAGGTACGTAACCAAGTAAGACGAAAAATGAACGGGTCAGAATCTGACGAAATATTAAAAGAAAAATCGTCGAAAAAAAAGGACAGCAAATATATATCATCGAGCACTAAAAATCTTCAGTGGATGGGTTGTTAAAGAGAGATTTCGGGTTACGTGTGACTTATGAAGCAGATCTTGAGTGAGAGCGAACGTGTAATAAGATTTAGAAGTCTTAGAAGTTCCACGACTTTCGCATCTTTCATTTCGTTTTCACATAGTCAGTATGAAAAGTGTTTTCACCCATTAATTTGCGACTCAAAAAACCAATTCTGGATTGGTGACGCAATATGAAAATTCAGAAAGATTTTAAATTTAATAATCTCCTATATAATTGGTCCTCCGGTCGTAAAGAGACCAAGAGAGTGCCGTATCAGTGTTAATTAAGAAACTAAATATTACAAAAACAGGGACTCCAGTTTTCTTCTATTTTTTCCAAGTCCGAGGTAATAGATCCATGATTACCCTTCATGTATGCTGTGGCTCGCAGTAAAAGATGCCATTTTATTGGATGAATCACTGACTGACAAAAACAAACACTACAGCCAATAGCATTGCTCGTTAGAACATAGATACAATGTCCTCTTAACCTGTTTCTACGAACATAGAATGATGATTCATGAATATCACAAAATAGTCGGGAAAACGAAGACAAGACAAGAATTAAGACTCAAAAACAAAAGCAGAGTAGGTTTGTATATTTTTACTTAGCCGTGGATTCTTTAAAAGTTACAATTTTACGTATTAATCACAATTTTCCTATTTTCTCTTACTTTTCTGTCACAACTGTGGGGCAACTGCAAGTCTTAGAGGTAAGTTGAATGCCTCATAATAAACCGTGTTGGTGTGAGGTTTTGAAAAACATCTCCGTCGATTTTTTTAGAAAATGTTTTAGAAATAAACTCGTCAAAAGGCGAATATTTTAGACTGATTAATCCTCCCAAAACTAAGCCTCTGGTGGTCTGATAATAAGTTAGCCTCTCGTTGTACTAGCTTCACTCTCGAGAGTGAATTCAGTTAAAAATTTTTTAGTTGAACAGTGCTTTTTCATATGTTTTCAAGCTAACAACCGTGCATGTTAATCAGTCAAGAAATGATGTGAACTCATTCAAGGGCATTCTTCAGAATTGACAGAGCTACTTCAAGGAGTCAAAATTGTCAGAGGTAAAAACAGGGAAAGAAACGAGGATATCTTTCGGGAAGTTCACTGCCTGGGCCAGTTAGACAAGAACCTGTTTAGCCTAAAATTTGAAACAGGTTCTTATTTAAAAATAGTGTTTTAAAAACATTTTGTACTCTTGGAAAATTAAAAAAAGTCAACATTCAAGGTCCCGTTTGGAGACATAGGTGCTTTATCAATCCAACTGGAATGAATTGGTATGCAGTGATTTTATGTAAGGAATAAGCTGAATACAACTAAATACTCTTAGCTACAATGTATTTTTTCCTTCAGAGAATCAGAAGAACCTCTTTAAGAACCTAAACAGCCTAAATTTGTGCCAATTACCATTTATGTAAGAACCTGTTTAGGCTAAATTGGGAAAATGCAGCTTCTTAGTCGCAGGTTTTTACTGAATAGCCTGAATAAATATTTTGATTATGGCAAATGTGTCGCATGCAAAATTTTCCAAGAATTACATGTGCAGAGAACATAACTGATTGTCTTCATTCGTCAAATTAACACGTCATTGCCCTTCAAACTTGGTTTAACTTGTATCTCGAAGGAAGTTTAAAACAGTTCTTATCATTGGCCGGTCTTCAAAATAATTCCTTAACGTCATGGAGCCTTCCAACTCGTTTTAACTTGCAACTTAATTGAAACAAAAGGAGTACATGACTTCTTTCAATTGGTCAATTAAGACCGACTGATTTACATGTAGCCAATAAGAATACTTCTAGTAACTTACATTTAACAATCTTTCAAACTTGTCCAAAACACGTTTTTACGTAAAGTTGGTCAAAATAGGGCATAAAAACCTTCGTACTGTCAAAAAAGTCATCATTCCTCTTCGGATCATTACAGTCGTTCATACAAGCAAGGTAGGACTTGAGTCAATGTTTCCAACAATCTTTCTTATCAAACTAATGTACTCAGTTTAATTTAACGATAGCTTGGAGTTCTTTTCACGTGGTTTTAATTTGAACTGTTTGTTTTCACGAAATATTTAAATGTAAAGCTTACTGCTACTAGCCTTGTTTTGTTGCGCTCAAATCTTAAGCGAACGCTTCAACGAAATGTCCAAAAGTTTTGAGTGTCCGTGTAAGTCCGACATATAATTGCAACGACCACCATGGTAAAGTTTTCAAGTAATGCTAAAAGCTGACCTGAAATTGACGAATGAAATCTGATGAAACTAATATTTTTTCTCCAAAACAAATAGTAACTTTGCCACAGATCATCAATTCGCGTTGCTTGTTATCTGCATTTTGAATTTCTTTTTTTTTTTTTTTAGCAAATCATTGAAACGGATGCCTTTTTAAAGGTACTCGACAATAATTTTGAGCGTATTCCTGTTTTCACAGGTTACCTCATCATGCAAACCTTTATGAAGATACCGCTGGCTACTGTGTTTTGCGGGCTGCTCTTACTGCTGATTACCTTGTGTTCTGCAAATGACAACAACAGCAGCAAACCACGTGACAAGGTGAGTTTGTGTAATCAAACATTGTAATATATAGCTTTAATGTATGAGAAGTGAAAGTCAGTCAATGGTACCTGAACTATTAACCTGAAAGAATTGAGTGAGGTAGAATGAATGAACGGTGATTTTTTATTTAAGGATGCTTGACTGAGGTTGATTGATTGACTTAATCAATTGATCATGAATTTATAACGGAATGAATTTTTACATTTTTCATTTAGAGTATTCCTCAACAGACTTCACCTTGTGGTCATGGTGGGTGTTTCTGTGCACCAGGAATTCCAGGCATCCCAGGAAGCCCTGGACCCGCGGGACCAGCAGGTGTTGCGGGATCACCCGGTAATCATGGACCTGAAGGACCCATGGGCCCACGAGGAAACAAAGGTGATGAAGGAGCTCGTGGAAGACCGGGACCACCAGGCGTCAAAGGAGTTAAAGGACCTGCAGGCCCGGCAGGTCCACGTGGGGACAAAGGTAAAGCAGGTTCAGCTGGTTCCCCTGGAAACAAGGGTGATACAGGTGCACGTGGAAGTCAAGGTCCCCCAGGTCCCAAGGGTGCTCCAGGATCGTTTGGTCGTAATTGGAAACAATGCGTTTTTAAGAATCTGAACGATGGAAGGGATTCTGGATTGATAAAGGTAACAATTGAGTTGGTCTTTCTAGATTATATAAATTAATCCGAAGCAAATTAGTAAGTGTGGTTATGACCGATTTAAAAACAAATTAATACTTCACAAAGAAAAAAGAAAAGAAATTAATGTTTAATAAGAGTCTTTATATCTGATAAAGACAAGGCTAAACTTTACGTCCAATTTTTTAGACCAAACTGACCCCAAATCGAAATATTAGTGCAAGAGTAAAGAATCTATATCAGAGATTTTGAAGCCGTTCAGAAACTCACAATCGTGTATTATCAGGTTTAAAAACTCGAGGCGAGTCGTTTGAGAAAAGAAAAATGCGTGTTTCGGAACTTGTGCGAGCTATCCATGGAATGATACAAAATGAAGGGAAAAGGTCCAATTCATCAGTTTAAGATATACGTACATTATATGTCTGAATTTGAGTGAATTTCGCAGGGGCGTAGAACCCTTAACGCAAATACGCACGTGCGTACTTGAGAAATTGGTACGATTTTTTTTATAGATTTTCTGTTATAATTAAAAGTCATTTGTAGCGTCGTGGCTTGACTTTGTATCGTGCAGATTTGTTTCTGTCTGTCTCGTTGTTATTCCGCATCGTTTTAACACGGTATATACAACAGCTTGAGTAGTGGAATGAGATAAATTCGAAACATTCTTGAAATGTTTGCCTCCAGGCGATCCCACAATACTTTGCGTATTCATGAAAAACGGAAAAGAATTTCGGTTCACCTCCCTGATCTTTCTTCTTTGGCCATTTTAAAGGAGTGCATTTTCAAGAAAGCATCAGACACTACTGGACTGCGCGTCTTTTGGAGTGGCAATCTTCGTCTCGCTAACTGCCATGCATGCTGCAGACGATGGTATTTCACTCTCAACGGTGCAGAGTGTTCAACACCAGGTGCCATTGACGGTGTAGTCTACATGGTACATGGAAATGGCGGCAAAAGGACTTACACCGTCCACGTCACATTGAAGGAGTCTGTGAGAAAATCCACAAGGGTACTGTTCGCGTGGGATTCTGGGTCGGTAATTGCGCAGGTTACGGATCTGCTGATGCTTACACAGGCTGGAACTCAGTGTCCCGGATATACGTGGAAGAAGTACCTCCCCCACAGGCTTAATAACAGCAAAGCCACAGGTTTTGTTTCACTTTGAAAGATAATCATGAACAGAGTAATATTTCGGGGATGATCAGTAAGCAAACTAAAGTAAATTTTCATTATTAGAGCCATGGGTTTAGGTTTCCGCATTAAATATCTTTTGAAAGTGCAACATGTAAGGTAAGACCCTAAAAAAACGTTCCATTTTGATTACTTCTGCATTATAAAATATTACAAGGTGACAACAATGTTTGAGCGACTTTTTTTAGCTCAATAAATAAAAGGGCTTTGAAATAAAATAACTTGTGCGTGAAATATGAATTTACTACCCTCCCGACCTTAATTTTCCGTTTGTTATCTTCTACCCGATTCCTTGGTTTATCATTTTACAATAAAGTAACAGAAGTCAGCATCAAAGTCCGAGCGATTAGTTATCTTCAGCTGATGGTACAAAAAAAGGGGCACTCAAAGACCGACCCTGTTTGGTAAATTTGGAAGTTTCCTAAATACTATTTAGCTGTTCGGTTGTCTTGGAGAAACTTTAATCGTCTCGAAAGTTAAAGGTGGCTTTTTTGTCTCATCTGATCTGAAACTGTTAGGTACCCTAATGGGTCCGATCGTAATTTTGAGGACATGGAGTAGCCGCACCTTAAGTAGAAGATTCTACGGAACGTTTTTAATTTTTACTGAAATGTTTGGGAGATCTTTTTAAACAATAATCGCGCGTAATAGCTCGGTAATAAAATGTGAAAAACTCAAACTCCCAAATCGAAAAAATCGTATGAAACCGAATAGTTTAGAGGAATGTAACTTTTATCCACAAAATTCTAGCCTTTCCCGAAAGATTTCGAGGAATTATTTTCTCTTTCGAACCGAAATTTGTCTCGAATCTCATTTTGAAAGTGATGCCGTGGGACTGTCGTTGCAAAATGCTACTGATAATTTTACACGTGAAGAGCTAAAACTGAGCTCGTATGAAGAATGAGGTTACGGAAATAAGACCGCGATGATATAATGCTGAATTCAGAACAGAGAAAGGTCTTTTCACACTAAAATTTTAGTCACAGCCACTTCGTCGCGGATGCTAAACCTTCACTCACGAAATCAAATTGTTACGTGGTAACATTTGAGTCTTCAATCAGGTAAATTTATTCCTTTGTTGGGGAAAAAGAAAAGTGTTTGACCAGAGATCAAAACGGTTGACTTATTGAAGAAATTTTGGATCGGTAACTTTTGCGCATTCCCGAACTTTAAATGCTACAATTTAGCATCTGGAACACTGGAACTGCAGCATAGTCCCGCACTTAAAAAGAAATGTTTGGGTCTTTTTAGCTAAGGAGAAGAGCTTCCTTTTGGCTTGACAGAAAACGGCTTGGCTAGCATCAAAAGATGTGTTTCAGCAAAATTCCCAAATGCAAATCGGTTAATAATAATAGTAAAAATAATGCTGATGACGATGACGTCGATGACGATGATAATAACAATCGAAAAAGGAGAAGCTTATCATTAAGTTCCGAAGTCCATTTTATTGCTGAATATACGGGTAATTTGGAAGGTGAACACTGCCTTGGATATAGTTCAATCTTTTGAACTCAATAATGATGGTCAGTTAACAAATACATTTGTATCACGGTCTTTAGCCGTTAACTGGGAATGCACTTTTCCAGAAAGTTTCCATGACCACCCATTAGGCCACAAGGATTATACCTGAAAAGTTTTACATCAGGCCTCAGTTGTTCAAAAGCTGGATTGTGCTATCCACCGAATAAATCACTATCCAACGGGAGGGAGACCAATTGCGCTATCCATTGGATAGTGTTTTATCCAGTGGATAGCGGTATCCGCCTTTTGAACAACTGGGGCCTGTACTTTTAGTTGTGTTACAAAGACTATCGAGGAAGCGAATGGACCATAAGAACAAGTTTAAAAATAAAGCCAGGGTGATTAAATATGTTCTCCAAGTGTTAAAACGTAGCAAAGAATTCCTCCCACTCTCATTACCTCATGAGGTAATATTATGAGGAACATACAAAAGGTTAAAATTGGTTACAAAGTGGTTCAATACTATTCTACATCTGCTGCTAAGGAATAGATAGATATATAAATTATGATAAATACACAAATCAAGCTAATATGCATCTTGTTCCATACTTGCTGCATTGCCACAGCTTCAAAAGATGAAGTTACTTCTTCTTTTTGCCACCTCCCTTCTTCTTGAGTGGCTTATTTTTACCTCTCATTGCTGCAGGCTTCACTACTTTTAGTGGTTTGGACTGCTTTCCAACTGCTACCTGAGTAAGCTCTTGCTCTATCTTGGCTTTAATAGTTACTTCCGAAAAAGCAAAAGAAATTAATGTTTAATGAGTTTCTTTATATCTGATAAAGACACGACTAAAGACTCTACCTATTGTTTCAATTCGACTGATCAAGGATGATACTGTGACATTAAGAGCAAGCTTTACATAGCAGCAGTACTTATCTCCAAAGAAGAAAGCTGTTTCGTTTAATTTGAAAAGTAGAGCTGAATATCTCTGTCGATCCAGAAAGATAGATTTCCGGGGAGGGAATTGTCGTAACAAAAAAACCGTGCCCATACGTTGGAAAATTGGAATTAAGCCCCTCAATTGGGTGTGGCTCCAGCTTGATTTGACCACTGACTCGTCCCCAGTCGTCTCTTATTATTTTCTAAGCGGTCAAGGAACGGTTGCGGGAGACTATTACGGCACTGGTGCGAAGGGGACGATGGGAAGGTGAAAGGGGAAATGAAGTCTTTTTCCTCCTTCCCATCATCCCCTGCACTTCCCTTTACCACGCTTCTCTCCTTAATATTAATAGGGAGACTGAGAGACAACTGGGGACGAGTCAGGATTTGACCCCAATACTCCAACACAATGACGGCATTTGCTACTTTTACTTAGCTTAATCTTTATGCACAACCCTCAGCAATTTATTATGGGTTAAGAGTAATCTTTTTCCTTTCTGAACACCCTATAAGTCAGACCAAAATCTGAAATTTCTACTGCTAAAAGTGACGACGAGGATCACCGTCATTTTCATATGGGAATCAGGCATATAAACAATTATTAAAAAATTACATCGATTCGAAATTCATTCTGCCTTGGAACTTTCGCGCAGCGGCTTTATTAGGCTGTCGCCTCGCATCCTCGCGTCTTCGCGACGCTGTTCCTTAGCAATAGAGAGATTAAGATTCACGTTTACAGCACACGGCAAACGCCAAACGTCAGTTGAGAATTTCTCAAAATAGAAAAAAAGCAGACAAAAACAGTCCAGAACGATTCTTGTGGATAAAACTGGCATAAAACTACTTATTTTTGTGTAGAAGCAATAAACAGTAAACGAAAAATAAGGGGAAAACTTGGTCACGTGGTACAAATTCACGTTTGCCGTTTGGCGTAAACGTGAATCTTAATCTCTCGAAACTTCAAGGGAAATCGAAAAAAGTTCGAGCTATCGGGAATTCGAGTTATCGGGAGCTCGAAGAAAATAGCCGGGAGTAAGGAAAAAAACAGTTTTTACGGCACAGTAACCATTTTAATCACATTTAATTGTAGAAATGCCAAGTGAAAATTAAAAGATTCTTCTTGATTATAAATCAGAGTGTAACGTAATAAATAGCTTAATTAGAGCATGAGTTTTACTGTTTTGAGAAGTAAAGCTGTTTCACGTTAGATTTGTGACAAACAAGATCAGCCTCCACTAGTTAACTATAATATGCCTACAACACGTCAATGGGAAATTCAAAATTCAATGTTTCGGACGCCAGAAGACTTTTTTCCCCGACTTTTTAAGGTTTTAAGGGCTCAAACATGGTTCGAGTTATCGAGGGTAAAATTGCGTAGAAATGATCTGAGGGGAAACAAAAACTGCTTCGAGTTAGCGGGAGATTCGAGTTTCCGAGGGTAAAATTACAGTAAATGTATGACGAAAATCCAGGGGAAATCGATTTTGGTTAGAGGTAGCGCGAGGTTCTGGTTAGCGGGAGTCAACTGTATTCCTTCCTGGGCGTGAGTAGCGCGACTGAGTTCGGCAAGGCAGTAGCTGACTACATTTGAAACACGCTCCAAGCCGTGGAATGCCTAAGTGTAAGATCGCGAGGAAATACGAGTTGAACCAAAATTAAGGGAAACCAGTTTTTTTTTTACCTGATTTGCTACCGTACATAAACACCTAAGGTTCATTTCGTTTCTAGTAGCTTCTGGTCTCAACTCCTTTGACAGTGTCTGATCACAAGTCATACAATCAATACAGTTGAGCTAACTGTCAGCGCAGTTTCTTTGTAATTATAAATCATTAAAAATTTCACTGTTAATATTATAATGGGACTATACTTTTTACAAATCATTGCGCTCAGACTTGTGCTTGTATCAGACGATTAAGAGTTACATGGATTTTTTTAAGATGGAGGAACTGGATATCAGTTTCGGTTAATGGTCAATAGAGTAGGGTCCTATATTATGACAAAGCTCAAGATTTCAATTGAATTTTTCAAATTGAAAGTACAGTCTTTATTTTGAGCAGTGGACCAGATAGACTCTGGTCGGCTAACAGAGGTCCACGGTTTAGTATCAAAGATAGAAGCATACATCCTGTAGGCAAGAGAAATATTTCTGCAAAAACAGTTTCATTTTTCTAGTAGTCGAGAGGTGCTATTTATTATGCAACGCATTGCTTACAGTGTATGTTACTAGAATGCAAATTTTACATCAGTACTTCAAAGTAAACAAGCAACACGCTCAATTTTCAAACAAACAGACCATGACAATGATTTCCGCATCCGATTTTTTGAGTAAACTTTTTAGTAAAATGTGAAAGCTTTGTACAAAGCCGGGCTCAACTACCTCGTGACTCATTCATGTTTATGCCTTGTATCCGTGACTATCTCAGAAGATGACATTTTCAAAACTCAGTAAAGAGCAAGACTGAACACAGCATCGCGTTTGCGGAACTTTTTAGACGGCTTTAAGTGGAGAAATCGCCTTGTTTACGATGAGAATACTATAGACACACTAAAGCACTCGTGACAGGCAGCAGAGACGACAATTTATTACACAAGTATACTGGCTGGTCCAAAGTTTAAGAAAGGGTCCTGTTTGAAATTGTCAGTATCGTTTTTAAGTTACTTGAACTTTTTGTGTTTCGCGCTAACAGAAAACAAACTTGCCGTAACTGAGGAGTGAATGCGTAGAAGAGCGCATTTCACTGGCGTCAGAAAAAGAAAACGCATATTGAATAATCCAAATATACTATGTACAATCCAGTTCAGGGTTAGTCGTAAAACTTGGACGTCTCTCAGAATGGCATTCTTCATTATATAATAAAGCTTCTATAAAACAGAAATCGAACAAAGAAAAAAAATCCCCTCATCACCCCCCCGTTACCCCACCTTTACTTCTCACCGCCCCACCCTCCCTTCCCTAGCCCAATTACTCTTCTGGAACCTCTCTCTTTTTTTATTTATACATGCAAAGAAAACAAAGTGGAAATTGCTCTACACTGGAATCGCGATGTTTCAAACCACTTTGCATGAGGAAAGGAAATTTGTTCCAGTTATCGGCATTTTGAAGATCGGTGGTAAACATTGTTTGGCTGGTGAAGGGAAGCTAGGTTTGCTTCAAAATATGGGGAATTTCAAGACACCGAGAGTTCGAGAATCGTGATTCTATTGTACTTTACCGATCGCTCTGAACAACAGTAAAGCAAGATGGCTTGAAAGGATCCTTGTTTCGCTCAACAAGAAGTTGCATCATAGGTTAATTCCTCTCAGCCCACGGTTGACCCATAAATTGTCTCCTAGAAGACGAAACCTTGATAAATGGATTTCTGGAAGGTATGTATTCAATAGTTTTATCATGTTAAAACTTGGACGGAGGCTAATATGTCGGTCCTTTTCTAGTTTTACTACAAATTTCTCAATGCAATCGCATAGAAACCAGGTGCACCCGTCGACAGTTTTCTGTGAATTATCTGTTCGGAGAAGCAAATATTGCCCAGAATTTTTCTTACTTGAGGAGGGCTAACACTTTCTAGATGACCGTTCCACTCATATTTAATTTTCGAAACTTATCTAATAAATTCCCTACGATTTTCTAAAGTTTAATTTTCACATTTCACTTACAAAGTTATGCCACGGTTTCGTGGAGAAAAGGAAACCTAAAATTTTGGGACTCAAAAATTCAAAGGGGAGCTTGAGAAATCAGAAAATGACTCACTTTCGTAATACGTCAAACTGCATCTAAGATTTTCGGGAAATTAACACTTAATAGGGCCTGTAATTTCGAAAATATACGCAAGTTCCTCTAGGGTGACCGAGACAGAAATCAGAAAATGACTCACTTTCGTAATACGTCAAACTGCATCTAAGATTTTCGGGAAATTAACACTTAATAGGGCCTGTAATTTCGAAAATACGCAAGTTCCTCTAGGGTGACCGAGACTAGAGATTAAAGTGATCGATCGATACAAAAAGAGCCACGCGTCATAATTAAATCTATACATTTTCGCAGTCTTTTTTCCTCAGTTTTACTCAAACCGTCATCCCAATACATATGCGTTCTTAACCAAGAAGAGGTACGTAACCAAGTAAGACGAAAAATGAACGGGTCAGAATCTAAAGAAATATTAAAAGAAAAATCGTTCAAAAAAAGGACAGCAAATATATATCATCGAGCACGAAAAATCTTCAGTAGATGGGTTGTTAAAGAGAGATTTCGGGTTACGTGTGACTTATGAAGCAGATCTTGAGTGAGAGCGAACGTGTAATAAGATCTAGAAGTCTTAGAAGTTCCACGACTTTCGCATCTTTCATTTCGTTTTCACATAGTCAGTATGAAAAGTGTTTTCACCCATTAATTTGCGACTCAAAAAACCAATTCTGGATTGGTGACGCCATATGAAAGTTCAAAAAGATATTAAATTTAATAATCTCCTAAAGAATTCGTCCTCCGGTCGTAAAGAGACCGCGAGAGTGCAGTATCAGTGTTACTTAAGAAACTAAATATTACAAAAACAGGGACTCCAGTTTTCTTCCATTTTTTCCAAGTCCGAGGTAATAGATCCATGATTACCCTTCATGTATGCTGTGGCTCGCAGTAAAAGATGCCATTTCATTGGATGAATCACTGACTGACAAAACAAACACTACAGCCAATAGCATTGCTCGCTGGAACATAGGTATACAATGTCCTCTTAACCTGTTCCTACGAGCATAGAATTATGATTTATCAATAACACAGAATAGTCGGGAAAACGAACACAAGTCAAGAATTAAGACTTAAAAACAAAAACAGAGTAGGTTTGTATATTAAAGTGACATTTTACGTATTAATCACAATTTTCCTATTTTCTCTTATTTGCAGTCACAACTGTTGTGCAACTGGAAATCTTAGAGGTAAGTTGAATGCCTCATAATTAACCGTGTTGGTGTGAGGTTTTGAAAAACATCTCCGTCGACTTTTTTAAAAAATGTTTTAGAAATAAACTCGTCAAAAGGCGAATATTTTAGACTGATGAATCCTCCCAAAACTAAGCCTCTCGTGGTCTGATAATAACTAAGCCTCTCGTTGTATTAGCGTCACTCTCGAGAGTGAATTCAGTTAAAAATTTTTCAGTTGAACAGTGCTTGCACACCTTAGGGAGAATTTTTTTCGGATTTTTCATATGTTTTCAAGCTAACAACCGTGCATGTTAATCAGTCAAGATATGATTTGAACTCAGTCTATCAAAAAAGCGTTGCAGTAGTTCTTTTTAGTTGTGCCAAAAATCTAAAGGGCATTCTTCAGAATTGACTGAGCTTCTTCAATTCAAGGAGTCGAAATTTTCAGAGGACACATTAAAAATAAAAAGAGAGAGAAATGAGGATATCGTTCGGGAAGTTCACAGCCTGGGCCAGTTAGACAAGAACCTGTTTAGCCTAAAATTTGAAACAGCTAGGTTCTTATTTAAAAATAGTGTTTTAAAAACATTTTGTACACTTGGAAACTAAAAAAGTCAACATTCAGGAATCCCGTTTGGAGACATCCAACTGGTATGCAGTGGTTTTATGTAACGAATAAGCTGAATACAATTAAATACTCCTGGCTACAATGTATTTTTTCTTTCAGAGCATCAGAAGAACCTATTTAAGAACGTAAATAGCCTAAATTTGTGCTAATTATCATTTACGTAAAAGCCTGTTTAGGCTAACTTGGGAAATGCAGTTTCTCAGTCGCTGGTTTTTGCTGAATAACCTCTAAAGCGTCTTTGGAAAAGTTACACTGATAAATATTTTGAATATGGCAAATGTGTCGCATGCAAAATTTTCCAAGAATTACATGTGCAGAGAACATGAATGATTGTCTTCATTCGTCAAATCAACGCGTCAGTGCCCTTCAAAGGAAGTTTAAAACAGTTCTTATCATTGGCCGGTTTTGAAAATAATTGCTTAACGTCATGAAGCCTTCCAACTCGTTTTAACTTGCTACTTAAATAAAACAAAAGGAGTACATGACTCCTTTCAATTGGTCAATTAAGACCGACTGATTTACATGTAACCAATAAGAATACTTCTAGTAACTTACATTTAACAATCTTTCAAACTTGTCCAAAACACGTTTTTACGTAAACTTGGTCAAAATAGGGCATAAAAACCTTCGTACTGTCAAAAAGGTCATCATTCCTCTTCGGATCATTACAGTCGTTCATACAAGCAAGGTAGGACTTGAGTCAATGTTTCCAACAATCTTTCTTATCAAACTATTACTCAGTTTAATTTAACGATAGCTTGGAGTTCTTTTCACGTGGTTTCAATTTGAACTGTTTCTTTTCACGAAATATTTAAATGTAAAGCTTACTGCTACTAGCCTTGTTTTGTTGCGCTTAAATCTTAAGCGAACGCTTCAACGAAATGTCCAAAAGTTTTAAGCGTCCGTGCATGTCCGACATATAAATGCAAGGACATGGTAATGTTTTCAAGTAATGCTAAAAGCTGACCTGAAATTGATGAATGAAACCTGATGAAACTAAAATTTTTTCTCCAAAACAAATAGTAACTTTGCCACAGATCGTCAATTCGCGTTGCCTGTTATCTGCATTTTGAATATTTTTTTTAGCAAATCATTGAAACCGATGCCTTTTTAAAGGTATTCGGCAATGATTTTGAGCGTGCTCCTGTTTTCACAGGTTACCTCATCATGCAAACCTTTATGAAGATACCGCTGGCTACTGTGTTATGCGGGCTGCTCTTATTGCTGATTACCTTGTGTTATGCAAATGACAACAACAGCAGCAAACCACGTGACAAGGTGAGTTTGTTTAATCAAATATTGTAATATATAGCTGTAATATATGAGAAGTAAAAGTAAGTCAATGGTAGCTGAACTATTCACCTGAAAGAACTTAGTGAGGTAGAATGAATGAACGGTGATTTTTTATTTGAGGATGCTTGACTGAGGTTAATTGATTGACTTGATCAATTGATCATGAATTTATAACGGAATGAATTTTTACATTTTTCATTTTTGAGTATTCCTCAACAGACATCATCTTATGGTTCGTGTGGTCATGGTGGGTGTTTCTGTGCACCAGGAATTCCCGGCATCCCAGGAAGCCCTGGACCCGCGGGACCAGCAGGTGTTGCGGGATCACCCGGTAATCATGGACCTGAAGGACCCATGGGCCCACGAGGAAACAAAGGTGATGAAGGAGCTCGTGGAAAACAGGGAGCACCAGGCGTCAAAGGAGTTAAAGGACCTGCAGGCCCGGCAGGTCCACGTGGGGATAAAGGTGAAACAGGTTCAGCTGGTTCCCCTGGAAACGAGGGTGCTACAGGTGCTCGTGGAAAGCAAGGTCCCCCTGGTCCCAAGGGACCTCAAGGAGCCTCAGGTTCAGTTGGTTCCCCTGGAAACAAGGGTGATACAGGTGCTCGTGGAAGTCAAGGTCCCCCAGGTCCCAAGGGTGCTTCAGGATCGTTTGCTCGTAATTGGAAACAATGCGTTTTTAAGAATCTGAACGATGGAAGGGACTCTGGATTGATAAAGGTAACAACTGAGTTGGTCGTTGTAGATTATATAAATTAATCCGAAGCAAATTAACAAGTCTGGTTATGACCGATTTAAAAACTCATTAATATTTCACAAAGAAAAAAGAAAAGAAATTTTAAATGTTTAATGAGAGTCTGTATTTGATAAAGACATGGCTAAACTTTGTAAACGTCCAATTTTTTTTAGACCAAAATAACCCCAAATCTAAATATTACTGCAAGAGTGAGTTGATCTATATCAGTGATTTTGAAGTCGTTCAAAAAACTCGCAGTCGTGTATTTTCAGGTTTAAAAACTCCTGCCGAATCATTTGAGAAAAGAAAAATGCGTGTTTCGGAACTTGTGCCGGCTATCCATGGAATAATACAAAATGCAGTGAAAAGGTCCAATTTATGAGTTTAAGATATACGTACGTTTTTTTGCAGGTTCGTAGCGCCCTTTACGCAAATACGCACGTGCATACTTGAGAAATTGCTAGTACTTTTTTGTTAAAGATTTTCTGTTATAAGTAAAAGCCGTATGTAGCTTCGTCTGACTTGAGTTTGTTTTGTGCAGATTTGTTCCTGTCTGGCTGTTATTCCGCATCATTTTTACCGGTAAAAAAAAAACAAAACAGTTTGAGTAGTGGAATGTGATAAACTCGAGCGAGACATTCTTGAAATGTTTACCTTCAGGCGATCCCACAATACATTGCGTACTCATGAAAAACGGAAAAGAATTTCTGTTCACCTTGCTGATCTTTCTTCCTTTGTTGATTTTTAAGGAGTGCATTTTTAAGAAAGCATCAGACACTACTGGGTTGCGTGTCTTCTGGAGTGGCAATCTTCGCCTTTACAACTGCCATGGATGCTGCAGGCGATGGTATTTGACTTTCAACGGTGCTGAGTGTTCAACACCAGCTGCCATTGACGGAATAGTATACATGGTACATGGAACCAGCGGCAAAAAGAATTTGCACCGTGTACGTCACATAGAAGGAGTCTGTGAGAAAATCCACAAGGGTACTGTTCGCGTGGGATTCTGGGTCGGCAATTGTGCTAGTTACGGATCTGCTGATGCTTACACAGGCTGGAACTCAGTGTCCCGGATATTCGTGGAAGAAGTACCTCCCCCACAGGCTTAATAACAGCAAAGCCAAAGTTTTTGTTTCACTTTGAACGATAATCATGAATAGAGTAATATTTCGGGGGTAATCAGTAAGCAAACTGAAGTAAATTTTGATTATTAGAGCCAGGGGTTTACTTTTTCGCATTAAATCTCTTTTGAAAGTGTAGGGTTTCAAGCTTCAGAAGCTTACATTACATGTTCCAAGGTAACAACAATGTTTGAGTTACTTTTTGTTATCTCAATAAATAAAAGGCTTTAAAATAAAATAAATTGCGTGAAATATGAATCTACTACCCTTCCCGACCTTTATTTTCCCTTTGTTATCTTCTTCCTGATTCAGTTTGGTTTATCATTTAAGATTATTTTTCTGTGCATATTTTTTACAGTAAAGTAACAAAAGTCAGCATCAAATTCAGAGAGAGAAGTTGTCTTCAGCTGAAGGTACCAAAATAGGGGCACTCAATGACCGACCCTGTTTGTTAAATTTGGAGGTTCCCTAAATACTATTTATCTGTTTGGATGTCTTAGGGGAGGTTTAATCGTCTCAAAAGTTTGAGATGGCGTTTTTGTCTCATCTGCTCTGAAACTGTTAGCTACCCTGATGGGTCCGATCGTAAGTTTGAGGACATGGAGTAGCCGCACCTTAAATAGAAGATTCTACTGCGGAACGTTTTGAATTTTTACCGAAATATTTGGAACACCTTCTTAAACAATAATCGCGCGCAATATCTTGGTAATAAAATGTGTAAAACGCAAACTCCCAAATTGAAAAAATCGTATGAAACCGAACATTTTAGAGGAATGTAACTTTTATTCACAAAATTCTAGCCTTTCCCGAGCTTGAGAAAGATTTCGAGGCATTATTTTCTCTTTCGAACCGAAATTTGGCTAGAATTTCATTTTGAAAGTGCGGCCGTGGGACTGTTGTTCTAAAATGCTACTGATAATTTTACACGTAAAGAGCTAAAACTGAGCTCGTCTGAAGAATAAGGTTACGGAAATAAGACCGCGATAATATAATGCTGAATTCAGAACAGAGAAAGGTCTTTTCACACTAAAAGTTTAGTCACAGCCACTTCGCCGCGGATGCCAAACCTTCACTCAGGAAATCAAATTGTAGCTTGACCTTATTCGCTTAAAGAGGGAAAATATTTGACTGTCAAGGATTTTTTGCCCGATGTGGTAACATTTGAGTCTTAAGGTAAATTTATTCCTTTGTTTGGGAAAAAGAAAAGTGTTTGATCAGAAATCAAAACGTTTGACTTATTGAAGAAATATTGGATCGGTAACTTTTGCGCATTCCCGATCCTTAAATGCTACAATTTAGCATCTGGAACACTGGAACTGCAGCCTGATAGTCCCCCACTTAAAAACGGATGTTTGGGTCTTTTTGGCTAAGCAGAAGAGCTTCCTTTTGGATAGACAGAAAACGGCTTGGCTAGCATCAAAAGAGATGTTTCATCAAAATTCCCAATAGCAAATGGGTTAATAATAATAATAATGAAAATAATGCTGATGACGATGATGAAGATAATAATGATAATAACAATCGAAAAAGGAGAAGCTTATCATTTAGTTCCAAAGTCCATTTTATTACTGAATATACGGGTAATTTGGAAGGTGAACACTGCTTTGGATTTAGCTCAATCTTTTGAACTCAATAATGATGGTCAATAGTCCTCAAAATCAATTTTCTCTTAACGAAATCCATAGACTATCCTGAGCAAAGTCTATGAGAATTAACAAAATGATCACAAAGAGAAAATATTTGATCTTTTACCAAATTCTCTCAACTAATTCTTCAAGGAAATGTATGGATATCAGTCTGGAGAATTTGTATGTGGATATTGGGACTTAAAGGGTTAAGAAATACATTTGTATCAAGGTCTTTAGTTAAACTGGGAATGCACTTTTCCAGAAAGTTTCCATGACCACCCATTAAGCCACAAGGATTATACCTGAAAAGTTATACATCAGGCCTCAGTTGTTCAAAAGCTGGATTGCGCTATCCACCGGATAAATCACTATCCAACGAATAAGTGTTAGGGAAACCAATTGCGCTATTTAGTGGATAGTGTTTTATCCAGTGGATAGCGTTATCCACCTTTTGAACAACTGGGGCCTGTACTTTTAGTTGTGTTACAAAGACTATTGAGGAAGAGAATGGACCATAAGAACAAGTTTAAAAATAAAGCCAGGGTGATTAAATATGTTCTCCAAGTGTTAAAACGTAGTAAAGAATTCCTCCCACTCTCTCTCATTACCTCATGAGGTGATATTATGAGGAACATGCAAAAAGTTAAAATTGGTTACATTTACGTTGTTCAATACTATTCTACATCTGCTGCTAAGGAATAGATAGATACATAAATTTTGATAAATACACAAAACATGGTAATTTGCATCTTGTTCTATACTTGCTGCATTGCTATTTCAAATGATGAAGTTACTTCTTCTTTGTGCCACATCCCTTCTTCTTGGGTGGCTTGTTTTTACCTCTCATTGCTGCAAGCTTCACTACTTTTAGTGGTTTGGACTGCTTGCCAACTGCTACCTTAGTAAGCTCTTGCTCCCTATTGGCTTTAACAGTTACTTCCAAAAAAGGAACATAAATTAATGTTTAATGAGTGTCTTTATATCTGATAAAGACAAGACTAAACTTTACGTCCAATATTTTAAGCCAAAATAACCCTAAATCTAAATATTAGCAGCCCCTCCACTCCTCATAGCGGGGAAATTGATTTCATTGTAAGATGATGTCAGACCAAGAGAAAGGATTTCCTTCAATGCCTTACACTTTAAACGTCAGTTTTTAGTTTCAAATCCCTAATAAGTATTAGGAAAACCAACTACGTCATCCACTGAATAGAGACTTATCCAGTACTATAACGTTGTCCCCCTTTTGTAACAACTGCGACCTGAACCTTTCAAGACTATACATACCGCCAAAAATACAATTCCATCAAGAACATTATTTTTATTCAGGTAAAGAGCAATCAGGGGACACCTTTTGACCAATTGTTATCTAAAAAACTTGTTTGATGGATTCGAGATAAATAAACAGCACCTTAGTTGCAGTGAGTATTTCAACTAGCTGGCGTTCTAGCAATTGAATTGTAAAACCACTCAGCAGCCTCCACCTATTGTTTTAATTCGACTGATCCAGGATGATACTGTGAGATTAAGAGCAAGATTTACATAGCAACAATACTTACCTCTGAAGAAGAAAGCTGTTTCTTTTAATTTGAAAGGTAGAGCTGAATATCTCTGTCGATCCAGAAAGATAAATTTCGGGGAAGGGAAATGTCATAACAAAAAAACCGTGCCCGTACGTGGAAAATTATAGTTAAGCCCTTCAAAGCGGGAGACTATTAGACACTGGTACGAAGGGGACGATGGGAAGGTGAAAGGGGAAAGGAAGTCTCTTTCCTCCTTCCCATCATCCCTCGCACTTCCCTTCACCGCACTTCTCTCGTTAATATTAATAGGAGACTGAGAGACAACTGGAAACGAGTCAGGATTTGACCCCAATACTCCAACACTATGACGGCATTTGCTACTTTTATTTAGCTTAATTTTTATGCACAACCCTAACCAATTTTTTATGGGTTAAGAATAATCGCTTTCCTTTCTGAACACCCTAAATCAGACCAAAATCTGAAATTTCTACTGCTAAAAGTGACCACGAGCATCACCGTCATTTTCATATGGGAATCAAACATACAAACAATTACTAAAAAATTACATCAATTCGAGATTCATTCTTCCTTGAAACTTTCGCGCACCGGCTTTATTAGGCTGCCTCCTCGCATCCTCGCGTCTTCGCGACGCTGTTCTTTGGCAATAACTTATTTCTACTTACAGTGGACTCCCGATAACTCGAACCTTCAAGGGAAATCGAGTTTTCGGGAGCTCGAAGAAAATAGCCGGGAGTGAGGAAAAGAACAGTTTTTACGGCACAGTAACCATTTTAAACACATTTAATTGTAGAAATGTCAAGTGAAAATTAAAAGATACTTCATGATTATAAATCAGAATGTAACGTAACAAATAGCCTAATTAGAGAATGCGTTTTACTGTTTTGAGAAGTAAAGCTGTTTCACGTTAGATTTGTGGCAAACAACATCAGCCTCCACTAGTAAACTATAATATGCCTACAACACGTCAAGGGGAAACTCAAAATTCAATGTTTCGGATGCCAGTTTTCCCCGACTTTTTAAGGTTTTAAGGGATCAAAACATGGTTCGCGTTATCGCGGGGTAAAATTACATAGAAATGATCTGAGGGGAAACAAAAACTATTTCGAGTTAGCGGGAGATTCGAGTTTCCGAGGGTAAAATTACAGTAAGTGTATGACGAAAATCGAGGGGGAATCGATTTTGGTTCAAGATAGCGCGAGGTTCGAGTTATCGGGAGTCAACTGTATTCCTTCCTGGGCGTGAGTAGCGCGACTGAGTTCGGGAAGGCAGTAGCTGACTACATTTGAAACACGCTCCAAGCCGTGGAATGCCTAAGTGAAAGATCGCGAGGAAATACGAGTGGAACCAAAATTAAGGGAAATCAGTCTTGTACCTAATTTACTACCGTACATAAACACCTAAGGTTCATTTCGTTTCTAGTAGCTTCTAGTCTCGACTCCTTTGACAGTGTCTGATCACAAGTATCTATCATACAATCAATACAATTGAGCTAATTGTCAGCGAAGTTTCTTTGTAATTATAAATCATTAAAAATTTCACTGTTAATATTGTAACTGGGGAACGTATATTTTTACAAATTCATGCTTGAATCAGACGTTTAAGAGTTAGATGGATTTTTTTAAGATGGATGAACTGGATATCAGTTTCGGTTAATGGTCAATAGAGTAGGGTCCTATATTATGACAAAGCTCAAGATTTCAATTGAATTTGTCAAATTGAAAGAACAGTCTTGTAGGGATCAAAACTTACCTTTTTAGATGTTCGAAAATCCTAGGAGAGACGGGCAAGCAAGAAATTTTACAACAAATGTTTAGAAAATTCTAGATCTCAAATCGTCTTCCGAACAGATATTCTTCCGAAAATTGTCGTTGGGTGCCCCTGAAAGAGGTCCACACTTTAGTATCAAAGATAGAAGCAGACATCCTGTAGGCAAGAGAAATATTTCCGCCAAGACAGTTTCATTTTTCTAGTACGTAGTCGAAAGGTGCTATTTCTTATGCAACGTATTGCCTACAGTGTATGTTACTAGAATGCAAATTTTACATCAGTACTTCAAAGTAAACAATTCAAGCAACACGCTCAATTTTCAAACAAACAGTCCATGACAATGATTTCCGCATCCGATTTTTTGAGTAAATGTTTTAGTAACATGCGAAAACTTCGTACAAAGCCGGGCTCAACTACCTCGCGACTCATTCATGTTATGCCTTGTATCCGTGACTATCTTAGAAGATGACATTTTCAAAACTCACTAAAGAGGAAGACTGAACACAGCATCGCGTTTTGAATTTTCTTTAGACGGCTTTAAGTGAAGAACTGGCCATGTTTACATTGAGAATACTATAGACCCATGACTGAAGCACTCGTGACAGGCAGTGACGACAATTTATTACACAAGTATACTGGCTGGTTTAAAGTTTAAGAAAGGGTCCTGTTTGAAATTGTTAGTATCGTTTTTAAGTTACTTGAACTTGTGTTTCGCGCAAACAGAAAACAAAGTTGCCGTAACTGAGGATTGAATGCGTAGAAGAGCACATTTCACTGGCGTCAGAAAAAGAAAACACATAAATTATTGAATAATCCAAATATACTATGTACAATCCAGTTCAGGCGTAGTCGTAAAACTTGGAATTCTCTCAGAATTGCATTCTTCATTAGATAATAAAGCTTCTATAAAACAGAAATCGAACAAAGAAAAAAAATTCCCTCATCACCCTCCCCCCCCCGTTACCCCACCTTTGCTTCTCACCGCCCTACCCTCCCTTCCCTAGCTCAATTACTCTTCTGGAACCTCTCTTTCCTTATTTATACATGCAAAGAAAACAAAGTGGAAATTGCTCTACACTGGAATCGCGATTTTTCAAACCACTTTGCATGGGAAAGCCAGTTTAGTTCTAGACTATTCTAGTTATCGGCATTTTGAAGATCGGGGGTAAACAGTGTTTGGCTGGTGAAGGGAAACTAGGTTTGCTTCAAAATATGGGGAATTTCAAGACACCGAGAGTTCGAGAGTCGTGATTCTATTGTACTTTACCGATCGCTCTGAACAACAGTAAAGCAAGATGGCTTGAAAGAATCCTTGTTTCGCTCAACAAGAAGTTGCATCATAGGTTAATTCCTCTCAGCCCACGGTTGACCCAAAAATTGTCTCCTAGAAGACGAAACCTTGATAAATGGATTTCTGGAAGGTATGTATTCAATAGTTTTATCATGTTAAAACTTGGACGGAGGCTAATATGTCGGTCCTTTTCTAGTTTTACTACAAATTTCTCAATGCAATCGCATAGAAACCATGAGCACCTGTCGACAGTTTTCTGTGTATTATCTGTTCGGAGAAGCAAATATTGCCCAGAATTTTCTTTTACTTGAGGACGGCTAACACTTTCTAGATGACCGTTCCACTCATATGTAATTTTCGAAACTTATCTAATAAATTCCCTACGATTTTCTAAAGTTTAATTTTCTCATTTCACTTCCAAAGTTATGCCATTTTTCGTGGAGAAAAGGAAACCTAAAATTTTCGGGCTCAAAAATTCAAAGGGGAGCTTGAGAAATCAGAAGATGTCTCACTTTCGTAATACGTCAAACTGCATCTAAGATTTTCGGGAAATTAATGCTTAATGCCCTGTAATTTCGAAAATACACAAGTTCCCCTAGTGTGACAGAACAAATTCAAATTTTATAACGTAACTTAGAAATCATTTCTAGACATCTAAAAGTACTCTGGATTGCCTAAAAAGTGTTATCAATGTATTTAGGAGGAAACCGTCAATTGGGTGCCCGTGAGAAACCGCATACTCGATCGACTTCGGAATACAAAAATGTACAATTTCATAGCACATATCAATCAAGAAGTTGATCATTTGTCCAAGCAAAGATAAAATAGAAATAAAATACTGAAAAGTGTCGTTAAAAACTGAACTATTAAATATAACCCAGTTTCCAAAAAACGACGTATAGCGACAGAGAATCTCTGATCGGGACTAGAAATTAAAGTGATCGATTGATACAAAAAGAGCCATGCGTCATAAAATCTATACATTTTCGCACTCTTTTTTCCTCAGTCAGTTTACTCAAACCATCATCCCAATACATTTGCGTTCTCAACCAAGAAGAGGTACGTAACCAAGTAAGACGAAAAATGAACGGGTCAGAATCTGACGAAATATTAAAAGAAAAATCGTCGAAAAAAAAGGACAGCAAATGTATACCATCGAGCACGAAAAATCTTCAGTGGATGCGTTGTTAAAGAGAGATTTCGGGTTACGTGTGACTTATGAAGTAGATCTTGAGTGAGAGCGAACGTTTAATAAGATTTAGAAGTCTTAGAAGTTCCACGACTTTCGCATCTTTCATTTCGTTTTCACATAGTCAGTATGAAAAGTGTTTTCACCCATTAATTTGCGACTCAAAAAACCAATTCTGGATTGGTGACGCAATACGAAAATTCAGAAAGATTTTAAATTTAATAATCTCCTATATGATTGGTCCTCCGGTCGTAAAGAGACCAAGAGAGTGCCGTATCAGTGTTAATTAAGAAACTAAATATTACAAAAACAGGGACTCCAGTTTTCTTCTCTTTTTTCCAACTCCGAGGTAATAGATCTATGATTACCCTTCATGTATGCTGTAGCTCGCAGTAAAAGATGCCATTTCATTGGATGAATCACTGACTGACAAAACAAACACTACAGCCAATAGCATTGCTCGTTGGAACATAGGTACAATGTCCTCTTAACTTGTTCCTGCGAGCATAGAATGATGATTCATGAATGTCACAAAATAGTCGGGAAAACGAAGACAAGACAAGAATTAAGACTCAAAAACAAAAGCAGAGTAGGTTTGTATATTTTTACTTAGCCGTGGATTCTTTAAAAGTTACAATTTTACGTATTAATCACAATTTTCCTATTTTCTCTTACTTTTCAGTCACAACTGTGGGGCAACTGCAAATCTTAGAGGTAAGTTGAATGCCTCATAATAAACCGTGTTGGTGTGAGGTTTTGAAAAACATCTCCGTCGATTTTTTTAGAAAATGTTTTAGAAATAAACTCGTCAAAAGGCGAATATTTCAGACTGATTAATCCTCCCAAAACTAAGCCTCTCGTGGTCTGATAATAAGTTAGCCTCTCGTTGTACTAGCTTCACTCTCGAGAGTGAATTCAGTTAAAAAATTTTCAGTTGAACAGTGCTTTTTCATATGTTTTCAAGCTAACAACCGTGCATGTTAATCAGTCAAGAAATGATGTGAACTCATTCAAGGGCATTCTTCAGAATTGACAGAGCTACTTCAAGGAGTCAAAATTGTCAGAGGTAAAAACAGGGAAAGAAACGAGGATATCTTTCGGGAAGTTCACTGCCTGTGCCAGTTAGACAAGAACCTGTTTACCCTAAAATTTGAAACAGGTTCTTATTTAAAAATAGTGTTTTAAAAACATTTTGTACACTTGGAAAATTAAAAAAGTCAACATTCAGGAGTCCCGTTTGGAGACATAGGTGCTTTATCAATCCAAATGGAATGAATTGGTATGCAGTGATTTTATGTAAGGAATAAGCTGAATACAACTAAATACTCTTAGCTACAATGCATTTTTTCCTTCAGAGAATCAGAAGAACCTCTTTAAGAACCTAAACAGCCTAAATTTGTGCCAATTACCATTTATGTAAGAACCTGTTTAAGCTAAATTGGGAAAATGCAGCTTCTTAGTCGCAGGTTTTTACTGAATAGCCTGAATAAATATTTTGATTATGGCAAATGTGTCGCATGCAAAATTTTCCAAGAATTACATGTGCAGAGAACATAACTGATTGTCTTCATTCGTCAAATTAACACGTCATTGCCCTTCAAACTTGGTTTAACTTGTATCTCGAAGGAAGTTTAAAACAGTTCTTATCATTGGCCGGTCTTCAAAATAATTGCTTAACGTCATGGAGCCATCCAACTCGTTTTAACTTGCAACTTAAATAAAACAAAAGGAGTGCATGACTCCTTTCAGTTGGTCAATTAAGACCGACTGATTTACATGTAACCAATAGGAATACTTCTAGTTACTTACATTTAACAATCTTTCAAACTTGTCCAAACACGTTTTTACGTAAAGTTGGTCAAAATAGGGCATAAAAACCTTCGTACTGTCAAAAAAGTCATCATTCCTCTTCGGATCATTACAGTCGTTCATACAAGCAAGGTAGGACTTGAGTCAATGCTTCCGACAATCTTTCTTATCAAACTAATGTACTCAGTTTAATTTAACGATAGCTTGGAGTTCTTTTCACGTGGTTTTAATTTGAACTGTTTGTTTTCACGAAATATTATGTAAAGCTTATTGCTACTAGCCTTGTTTTGTTGCACTCAAATCTTAAGCGAACGCTTCAACGAAATGTCCAAAAGGTTTGAGTGTCCGTGTAAGTCCGACATATAATTGCAAGGACCAGCATGGTAATGTTTTCAAGTAATGCTAAAAGCTGACCTGAAATTGACGAATGAAATCTGATGAAACTAATATTTTTTCTCCAAAACAAATAGTAACTTTGCCACAGATCATCAATTCGCGTTGCTTGTTATCTGCATTTTGAATTTCTTTTTTTTTTTTTTAGCAAATCATTGAAACCGATGCCTTTTTAAAGGTACTCGACAATAATTTTGAGCGTATTCCTGTTTTCACAGGTTACCTCATCATGCAAACCTTTATGAAGATACCGCTGGCTACTGTGTTTTGCGGGCTGCTCTTATTGCTGATTACCTTGTGTTCTGCAAATGACAACAACAGCAGCAAACTACGTGACAAGGTGAGTTTGTGTAATCAAACATTGTAATATATAGCTTTAATGTATGAGAAGTGAAAGTCAGTCAATGGTACCTGAACTGTTAACCTGAAAGAATTGAGTGAGGTAGAATGAATGAACGGTGATTTTTTATTTAAGGATGCTTGACTGAGGTTGATTGATTGACTTAATCAATTGATCATGAATTTATAACGGGATGAATTTTTAAATTTTTCATTTAGAGTATTCCTCAACAGACTTCACCTTATGGTTCGTGTGGTCATGGTGGGTGTTTCTGTGCACCAGGAATTCCAGGCATCCCAGGAAGCCCTGGACCCGCGGGACCAGCAGGTGTCGCGGGATCACCCGGTAATCATGGACCTGAAGGACCCATGGGCCCACGAGGAAACAAAGGTGATGAAGGAGCTCGTGGAAGACCGGGACCACCAGGCGTCAAAGGAGTTAAAGGACCTGCAGGCCCGGCAGGTCCACGTGGGGACAAAGGTAAAGCAGGTTCAGCTGGTTCCCCTGGAAACAAGGGTGATACAGGTGCTCGTGGAAGTCAAGGTCCCCCAGGTCCCAAGGGTGCTCCAGGATCGTTTGGTCGTAATTGGAAACAATGCGTTTTTAAGAATCTGAACGATGGAAGGGATTCTGGATTGATAAAGGTAACAATTGAGTTGGTCTTTCTAGATTATATAAATTAATCCGAAGCAAATTAGTAAGTGTGGTTATGACCGATTTAAAAACAAATTAATACTTCACAAAGAAAAAAGAAAAGAAATTAATGTTTAATAAGAGTCTTTATATCTGATAAAGACAAGGCTAAACTTTACGTCCAATTTTTTAGACCAAACTGACCCCAAATCGAAATATTAGTGCAAGAGTAAAGAATCTATATCAGAGATTTTGAAGCCGTTCAGAAAACTCACAGTCGTGTATTATCAGGTTTAAAAATTCGAGGCGAGTCATTTGAGAAAAGAAAAATGCGCGTTTCTGAACTTGTGCGAGCTATCCATGGAATGATACAAAATGCAGGGAAAAGGCCCAATTTATCAGTTTAAGATATACGTACATTATATGTCTGAATTTGAGTGAATTTCGCAGGGGCGTAGAACCCTTAACGCAAATACGCACGTGCGTACTTGAGAAATTGGTACGATTTTTTTTATAGATTTTCTGTTATAATTAAAAGTCATTTGTAGCGTCGTGGCTTGACTTTGTATTGTGCAGATTTGTTTCTGTCTGTCTCGTTGTTATTCCGCATCGTTTTAACACGGTAAATACAACAGCTTGAGTAGTGGAATGAGATAAATTCGAAACATTCTTGAAATGTTTGCCTCCAGGCCATCCCACAATACATTGCATATTCATGAAAAACGGAAAAGAATTTCGGTTTACCTCCCTGATCTTTCTTCTTTTGACCATTTTAAAGGAATGCATTTTCAAGAAAACATCCGATATCACAGGGTTGCGAGTCTTCTGGAATGGCAATCTTCGTCTCCGTGGCTGCCATGATTGCTGCAGACGATGGTATTTCACTCTCAACGGTGCAGAGTGTTCAACACCAGGTGCCATTGACGGTATAGTCTACATGATACATGGAAATGGCGGCAAAAAGGACTTACACCGTGTACGTCACGTTGAAGGAGTCTGCGAGAAAATCCACAAGGGTACTGTTCGTGTGGGATTCTGGGTCGGCAATTGTGGTAGTTACGGATCTGCTGATGCTTACACAGGCTGGAACTCAGTATCCCGGATATACGTGGAAGAAGTACCTCCCTCACAGGCTTAATAACAGCAGAGCCAAAGTTTTTGTTTCACCTTCAAAGATAACCATGAGCAGAGTAATATTTCGGGGGTAATCACTAAGCAAACTGAAGTAAATTTTGATTATAAGAGCCAGGGGTTTAGCTTTCCGCATTAAATCTTTTTTGAAAGTGCAGGGTTTCAAGCTCAGAAGCTTACATTACATGTTACAAGGCGACAACAATGTTTGAGCGACTTTTTTTTATCTCAATAAATAAAAGGGCGTTAAAATAAAACAAATTGTGCGTGAAATATGAATTTACTACCCTTCCCGACCTTTATTTTTCCTTTGTTATCTTCTTCTTGATTCTTTGGTTTATCATTTAAGATTATTTTTCTGTGCTTATATTCAGTTACAATTAAGAAGTCAGCATCAAATTCCGAGCAATTAGTTATCTTCAGCTGATGGTACAAAAAAGGGGCACTCAACGACCGACTCTGTTTGGTAACTTTGGTGGTTCCCTAGCTACTATTTATCTGTTTGGATGTCTGAGGGAAACTTTAATCGTCTCGAAAGTTTAAGGTGGCGTTTTTGTCTCATCTGATCTGAAACTGTTAGCTACCCTGATGGGTCCGATCGTAAGTTTGAGGACATGGAGTAGCCGCACCTTAAATAGAAGATTCCACTGCGAAACGTTTTGAATTTTTACCGAAATATTTGGAAGAGCTTTTTAAACAATAATCGCGCGCAATATCTTGGTAATAAAATGCCGACAAAAACACAAACTCCCAAATTGAAAAAATCGTATGTAACCGAATATTTTTGAGGAATGTAACTTTTATCCACAAAATTCTAGCCTCTCCCGAGCTTAAGAAAGATTTCGAGTCATTATTTTCTCTTTCGAACGGAAATTTGGCTCGAATTTCATTTTGAAAGTGCGGCCGTGGGACTGTAGTTGCAAAATGCTAATGAATATTTTACACGTAAAGAGCTAAAACTGAGCTGGTATGAAGAATAAGGTTACAGAAAAAGAGAAGTTTTTGAGCAGAGATCAGAACGGTTCACTTATTGAAGAAATATTGGATCGGTAACTTTTGCGCATTCCCGAACTTTAAAAGCTACAATTTAGTGTCTGGAACACTGGAGCTGCAGCATAGTCCCCCACTTAAAAAGGGATGTTTGGGTCTTTTTGGCTAAGCAGAAGAGCTTCCTTTTGGCTAGACAGAAAACGGCTTGGCTAGCATAAAAAGACATGTTTCAGCAAAATTCCCAATTGCAAATGAGTTAATAATAATAATAAAAATAATGCTGATGACGATGATGAAGATAATAATGATAATAACAATCGAAAAAGGAGAAGCTTATCATTTAGTTCCGAAGTCCATTTTATTGCTGAATATACGGGTAATTTGGAAGGTGAACACTACTTTGGATTTGGTTCAATCTTTTGAACTCAATAAAGATGGTCAGTTAACAAATACATTTGTATCATGGTCTTTAGCTGTTAAACTGGGAATGCACTTTTCCAGAAAGTTTCCATGACCACCCATTAGGCCACAAGGATTATACCTGAAAAGTTATACATCAGGCCTCAGTTGTTCAAAAGTTGGATAGCGCTATCCACCGGATAAATCACTATCCAACGAATAATTGTTAGGGAAACCAATTGCGCTTTATCCAGTGGATAGCGTTATCCGCCTTTTGAACAACTGGGGCCTGTACTTTTAGTAGTGTTACAAAGACTATTGAGGAAGAGAATGGACCATAAGAACAAGTTTAAAAATAAAGCCAGGGTGATTAAATATGTTCTCCAAGTGTTAAAATGTAGTAAAGAATTCCTGTCATTCGCATTACCTCATGAAGTAATATTATGAGGAACATACAAAGGGTTAAAATTGGTTATAATTACAAAAGTTGTTCAATACTATTCTACATCTGCTGCTAAGGAATAGATAGATATATAGATTATGATAAATACACAAATCATGCTAATATGCATCTTGCTCCATACTTGTTGCATTGCCACAGCTTCAAATGATGAAGTTATTTCTTCTTTTTGCCACCTCCCTTCTTCTTGGGTGGCTTGTTTTTACCTCCCACAGCTGCAGGCTTCACTACTTTTAGTGGTTTGGACTGCTTGCCAACTGCTACCTGAGTAAGCTCTTGCTCTATCTTGGCTTTAATAGTTACTTCCAGTCCCTTATTAAATATTTTTTCAAAAGTCATTAATTATTTATAAAGAAAAAGCAAAAGAAATTAATGTTTAATGAGTGTCTATATCTGATAAAGACACGACTAAACTTTACGTCCAATTTTTTTAGCCAAAATGACCCTAAATCTAAATATTAGTACAAGAATGAGTTGATCTGTATCAGTTTTTTAAGCCGTTTGAAACACTCGCAGTCGTGTATTATCAGGTTGAAAAATTCTTGGCTTCGCCTGGAGTTTTTAAACCTGATAATACACTCCTGCTCGTTTTTTAAACAGTTCACATCAAATTATGAAATATTAAAAGTTGAAGTGAGAGAGGTCTTTCCAAATATTGATTTTCTCTTCTCGTACAGTTGTAGCTGCACGGTTTGGGCCAAAAGGTAGCATATTTTCTTGAATAAATAAAAGTGTGCTTATTAACATCCCCACACCCGTGTGGAATGAATATGAAGAGGAGGTTAACTGCTCCCCACGGGCCGACCCGAAGGGTGATGGGGAAATACAGCGAGGGTGTGTTATTACCTTGATTGCAGCTCTCCTTCTATCGCTGTTATTTCCTCTACGTAGGTTATTAAAAACCTACGATAAGTTTGCAGTTATTTTGGATAGATAAATTAACACGTAATGAAGTACATGCTTTGGAAGTGCTTAGTTTTAAAAGTAGTACCAGCCCCTCCACTCCTCATAGCGGGGAAATCCGAATGTCAAAAAAAAACCATTTGATTTCATTGTGAGATGATGTCAGACCGAGAGAAAGGATTTCCTCCAATGCCTTACACTTTAATCGTCAGATTTTTGTTAGTTTCAAATCCCTAATAAGTATTAGGAAACCCAACTATGTCATCCACTGGATAGATACTTATCCAGTACTATAACGTTATCCCTCTTTTGTAACCACCGCGACCTGATCGATGAACCTTTCAAGATTACATACCGAAGAAAATACAATTCCATCAAGAACATTATTTTTATTTAGATAAAGAGCAATCAGGGGACACCTTTTGACCAATTATTATCTACAACACTTGTTTGATGGATTCGAGATAAATAAACAGCACCTCAGTTGGAGCCGTGAGTGTTTCAACCAGCTGGCGTTCTAGCATTTGAATTGTAAAAGCAGTCAGCAGCCTCCACCTATTGTTTTAATTCGACTGACCCAGGATGGTACCGTGAGATTAAGAGGAAGATTTATATAGAAACAATACTTATCTCCGAAAGAGAAAGCTGTTTCGTTTAATTTGAAAGGTAGAGCTGAATATCTCTGTCGATCCAGAAAGATAAATTTCCGGTGAAGGAATTGTTGTAACCAAAAAACCGTGCCCGTACGTTGGAAAACTGGAGTTAAACCCCTCAATTGGCAACCTCGTTCTCAGGACAGAACCCTGGGAACGAGGTTGCTCAATTGGATGTGGCTCCAGCTTGATTTGACCACTGACTCGTCCCCAGTCGTCTCTTATTATTTTGTAAGCGGTCAAGGAACGGTTGCGGGAGACTATTACGGCACTAGTGCGAAGGGGACGATGGGAAGGTGAAAGAGGAAATGAAGTCTCTTTCCTCCTTCCCATCATTCCCCGCACTTCCCTTTACCACGCTTCTCTCGGTAATATTAATAGGAGACTGAGAGACAACTGGGGACGAGTCAGGATTTGACCCCAATACTTCAACACAATGACGGCATTTGCTACTTTTATTTGGCTTAATCTTTATGCTCAACCTTCAGCAATTTTTTATGGGTTAAGAGTAATCTTTCTCAGCACCCTAAGTCAGACCAAAATCGGAAATTTCTACTTTTAAAAGTGACCACGAGCAAAACCGTCATTTTCATATGGGAATCAGGCATACAAACAATTACAAAAATTACATCGATTCCAGATTCATTCTGCCTTGAAACTTTCGCGCAGCGGCTTTATGAGGCTGTTTTGAGAAGTAAAGCTATTTCACGTTAGATTTGTGACAAACAACATCAGCCTCCACTAGTAAACTATAATATGCCTACAACACGTCGATGGGAAATTCGAAATTCAAGGTTTTGGACGCCATTAGACTCTTTTTTCCCGACTTTTTAAGGTTTTAAGGGTTCAAAACATGGTTTGAGTTATCGAGGTAAAATTACATAGAATGATAACAAAAACTACTTCTGCTACTTCGAGTTAGCGGGAGATTCGAGTTTCCGAGGGTAAAATTACAGTAAATGTATGACGAAAATCCAGGGAGAATCGATTTTGGTTCGAGATAGCGCGAGGTTTGAGTTTTCGGGAGTCAACTGTACTGTATTCCTTCCTGGGCGTGAGTAGCGCGACTGAGTTCGGCAAGGCAGTAGCTGACTACATTTGAAACGCGCTCCAAGCCGTGGAATACCTAAGTGTAAGATCGCTAGGAAATAAGATTTGAACCAAAATTAAGGGAAATCAGTTTTTTTTGCCTAATTTACTACCGTACATAAACACCTAAGGTTCATTTCGTTTCTAGTAGCTTCTAGTCTCGACTCCTTTGACAGTGTCTGATCACAAGTATCTATCATACAATCAATACAATTGAGCTAATTGTCAGCGAAGTTTCTTTGTAATTATAAATCATTAAAAATATAAAATATATTAAAATAAAAAATATGAAAATATATTGTTTACAAATTCATGCTTGAATCAGACGTTTAAGAGTTACATGGATTTTTTTGAGATGGAGGAACTGGATATCAGTTTGGGTTAATGGTCAATAGAGTAGGGTCCTATATTATGACAAAGCTCAAGATTTCAATTGAATTTTTCCAATTGAAAGTACAGTCTTTATTTTGAGCACTGGACCAGACTCTGGTCGGCTAACAGAGGTCCACGGTTTAGTATCAAAGATAGAAGCAGACATCCTGTAGGCAAGAGAAATATTTCCGCCAAGACAGTTTCACAGAGTTTCATTAGTAGTCGAAAGGTGCTATTTATTATGCAACGTATTGCCTACAGTGTATGTTACTAGAATGCAAATTTTACATCAGTACTTCAAAGTAAACAAGCAACACGCTCAATTTTCAAACAAACATACCATGACAATGATTTTAGCATCCCATTTTGTGAGTAAATGTTTTAGTAAAATGTGAAAACTTTGTAGAAAGCCGGGCTCAACTATCTCACGACTCATTCATGTTAGTTGTATCCGTGACTATCTCAGAAGATGACATTTTCAGAACTCAGTAAAGAGCAAGACTGAACACAGCATCCCGTTTTGCGGAATTTGGTTTAGACGGCTTAAAGTGGACAAATCGCCATGTTTACATTGAGAAAACTATAGACACACTAAAGCACTCGTGACAGGGTCCTGTTTGAAATTATTAGTATCGTTTTTAAGTTACTTGAACTTGTGTTTCGCGCTAACAGAAAAGAAAGTTGCGGTAACTGAGGAGTGAATGCGTAGAAGAGCGCATTTCACTAGAGTCAGTTAAAGAAAACACATATTGAATAATCCAAATATACTATGTACAATCCAGTTCAGGCGTAGTCGTAAAACTTGGACTTCTCTCAGAATGGCATTCTTCATTATATAATAAAGCTTCTATATAACAGAAATCGAGCAAAAAAAATATATTCCCACATCACCCTCCCCACCCGTTACTCCACCTTTGCTTCTCACCGCCCAACCCTCCCTTCCCTAGCTTAGTTGAAATCACTCTTCTGGACCCTCTCTTTTTTTGCAAAACGTGGTCTGACGGGAGAATTATTATACATGCAAAGAAAACAAAATAGAAATTGCTTTATCGTGGAATCCAGATTTTTCCAACAACCTTACATGGGAAAGCAAATTCGTTCGAATTATCGGGACGTTTAAAGATCGGGGTAAAATTACAGTGTTTGGCTGGAGAAGGGAAGTTAAGTTTGCTTCAAAATATCGGGAATTTCAAAACACTGAGAGTTCGAGAAATTGGGATTCTACTGTACTTTACCGATCGCTCTGAACAACAATAAAGCGAGATGGCTCGAAGAATCCTTGTCTCGCTCAACAAGAAGTTGCTTGTACGGGTCACAGAATTTCCTGTCGTCCGGCTTCGTCAAGGGCTCACGGTTAACCCATGAATTGCAGTGTCCAGTCCTAGAAGACGAAACCTTGATAAATGAATTACTGAAAGGTATGATTTATCATGTTTGTCATGTTAAAACGTCGACGGATGCTAAAAAGTCGGCTCTGTTCTAGTTTTACTACACATTTCTCAATGCGATCGCATAGAAACCGCATTCGCATCAGTAGCTGATTCCATTCAATGTCATTTCGATTTCACATAATATTATATTTAAAATTCGGAAGAAAAAAATGTATAATTTCACAGCGTTCTCTATTTCAAACGTATAAATCGAGAAGTTGACCATGTGTCCAGGCAAAGATGAAATAGAAAGAAAATGAAAGTGTCGTTAAAAAGAACTATTAATTATAGCCCAGTTTTCAAAACTCGACGTATACCGACAGAGAAATTCTGATCGGGACGAGAACTTGAGGTGCTCGCCGGATACAAAATGAGCCACGCATCATAAAATCTATACAAATTCGTAGTCTTTTTTCCTCAGTTTTTACTCAAACCATCATCCCAATACATATGCGTTCTCAACTAAGAAAGGGTTACGTCGCCAAGTAAGACGAAAAATGAACGGGCCAGAAACTGAAGAAATATTAAAAGAAAAATTGCCAAATAAAAAGGACAGAAAATATCTCATCGAGCACAAAAACTCTTCGTGAGAGATGGGTTGTTACAGACAGATTTCAGGTTATGTGTGACCTTTGAGGTAGATCTTGAGTGAAAGCGAACATATAATAGGATTTCGAAGTTCCACGACTTTCGAATCTTTCATTTCGTTTAGATATATTTATGAAAGGTGTTTTCACTCAATAATTTTCGCCTCAAACCAGTTGTGAAATTTATGACGCCATTTGGAAATTGAGAAAGATATTCCGTTTAATAATCTCCTAGCCTGCGTAGCAGGCGCTTGGAAGTAGCGGGCGCCCGTTTTTTCTTGTGCCCACTACTTCCAAGCGCCTGCTACGCAGGCTAATAATCTCCTGAATATTTCTTCCTCGGTTCGTAAAGAGACCACAAGAGTGCAGTATCAATGTTAATTAAGAAACTAAATAAATACAAAAACAGGGACTCCAGTTTTCTTCTCTTTTTTCCAAGTCCGAAGTAGTAGATCGAGGTAATAGATTACTTTTCATGTATGCTGTGGCTCGCAGTAAAAGATGCCATTTAATTGGATAAATCACTGAGTGACTGACAAAACAAACACTACAGCCAACAGCATTGCTCGTTGGAACTTAGGTACAATGTTCTCTTAACTTGTTCCTGCGAGCATAGAATGATGATTCATGAATATCACAAAATAGTGGGAAAAACGAAGACAAGACAAGAATTAAGGCTTAAAAACAAAAATAGAGTAAGTTTGTATATTTTTACTTAACCGAGGATTCTTTAAAAGATACGTTACGTATTCATAGTAATCACAATTTTCCTATTTCCCTTACTCTGCAGTCCTTTGATTTGTCCACTGAGACAACTGCGGTGCAACTGGAAATCTTAGAGGTGAGTTGTATGCCTCATAATAAATTAAACCGTGTCTGTGCGAGGTTTTGAAAAACATTTCTGTCGACTTTTTTAGACAATGTTTTAGAAATGAACTCGTCAAAAGGCCAATATTATAAGAATGGTCAATTCTTCTAAAACTGATTAATCGTCCCAAAAATTAAGCGCCTTGCAGTCTGATAATAATTTGGCCTCTCGTTGTATTAGCTTAACTCTCTAGAGTGAATTCAGTTAAAAATTCTTAACTTGAACAGTGCTGCACACTTTACACTTTTCGGATTTTTCAAATTAACGATTTAAAGCTTGCTACCATGTGTTAATCATTCAACATATGATGTTCAGTCTATCAAAAAAGCGTTGCAGTAGTTCTTTTTGAGTTGTGCCAAAAATCTAAACAGAATTCTTCATAACTGACTGTGCTAATTCAAGGAGTCAAAAGTGTCCGAGTTAAGATTTAAAAAAAGAGAGAAAGAAACAAGGATCTCTTTCAAGAATTTCACTGTCTGTGCCAGCAGTTAAAACCCCCTCAACACAAGAACCTGTTTAGTCTAAAATTTAAAACAGGTTCTTACTTAAAAATGTTTTTAAAAAATTTTGTACGCTTGGAAAATGAAAAAGTCAACATTCATCAGGATCCCGTTTGGAGACATAGGTGATTTATCAATCCAACTGGAATGTATTGGTATGCCGGTGATTTCATGAGGGATAAGCTGAACACAACTAAATACTCTTAGCTACAATGTATTTTTTCACTGACAAATGAAATCAGCCTAAATTTCATATGTGCTAATGAATTTCCATTTATGTGTAAGAACCTGTTTTGGCTAATTTGGGAAAATGCAGCTTCTTAGTCGCGGTTTTTACTGAATAGCTTCTAAAGCGTCTTCAGGACAGTTACACTGATAAATATTTTGAATGGCAAATCTGTCGCATGCAAAACAGTTTTCCAAAAATTACATTTGCTGATAATAAGAATGATTGTCTTCACATTTCGTCAAATTATCACGTCAGCGCCCTCAGTTCAAACTTGGTTTAACTTGTATCTCAAAGGAAGTTTACATAGTTCTCATCATTTGCCGGATTTCAAAATAATTGCTTAACGTCATGGAGCCTTCCAACTCGTTTTAACTTGCAACTTAAATAAAACAAAAGCAGTACATGACTCTTTTCAATTCGTCAATTAAGACCGACTGATTTACATGTAACCAATAAGAATACTTCTAGTAACTTACATTTAACAATCTTTCAAACTTGTCCAAAACACGTTTTTACGTAAACTTGGTCAAAATAGGGCATAAAAACCTTCGTACCGTCGAAAACATTATCATTCGTCTTGGGATCACTACAGTTGTTCATACAAGCAAGGTAGGACTTGAGTCAATGTTTCCAACAATCTTTCATATCAAACTAATATACTCAGTTTAATTAAACGATAGCTTGGAGTTCTTTTCACGTGGTTTTAATTTGAACTGTTTCTTTTCATGAAATATTTAAATGTAAGGCTTACCGCTACTAGTTTTGTTTAGTTGCGCTTAAATCTTAAACAAACGCTTCAACGAAATGTCCAAAAGTTTTAAGCGTCCGTGTAAGTCCGATATATTTTGAAAGGACATGTTAATGTTTTCAAGTAATGCTAAAAGCTGACCTGAAGTTGATGAATGAAGCCTGACGAAACTGATATTTTTTCTCCAAAACAAATAGTAACTTTGCCACAGATCATCAATTCGCGATGCTTGCTATCTACATTTTGAATTTTTTTTTTAGCAAATCATTGAAACCGATTAAAGATATTCGGCCATAATTTTGAGCGTACTCCTGTTTTCACAGGTTTCCTCATCATGCAAACCTTTATGAAGATACCGCTGGCTACTGTGTTATGCGGGCTGCTCTTACTGCTGATTACCTTGTGTTCTGCAAATGACAACAACAGCAGCAAACCACGTGACAAGGTGAGTTTGTTTAATCAAACATTGTAATATATAGCTTTAATATATGAGAAGTGAAAGTCAGTCAATGGTACCTGAACTATTAACCTGAAAGAACTTAGTGAGGTAGAATGAATGAACGGTGATTTTTTATTTAAGGATGCTTGACTAAGGTTAATTGATTGACTTAATCAATTGATCATGAATTTATAACGGAATGAATTTTTAAATTTTTCATTTAGAGTATTCCTCAACAGACTTCACCTTATGGTTCCTGTGGTCTTGGTGGGTGTTTCTGTGCACCAGGAATTCCCGGCATCCCAGGAAGCCCTGGACCCGCGGGAACAGCAGGTGTCGCGGGATCACCCGGTAATCATGGACCTGAAGGACCCATGGGCCCACGAGGAAACAAAGGTGATGAAGGAGCTCGTGGAAGACCGGGAGAACCAGGCGTCAAAGGAGTTAAAGGACCTGCAGGCCCAGCAGGTCCACGTGGGGACAAAGGTGAAGCAGGTTCAGCTGGTTCCCCTGGAAACAAGGGTGATACAGGTGCTGGTGGAAAACAAGGTCCCCCTGGTCCCAAGGGACCTCAAGGAGCCCCAGGTTCAGCTGGTTCCCCTGGAAACAAGGGTGATACAGGTGCTCGTGGAAGTCAAGGTCCCCCAGGTCCCAAGGGTGCTCCAGGATCGTTTGCTCGTAATTGGAAACAATGCGTTTTTAAGAATCTGAACGATGGAAGGGACTCCGGATTGATAAAGGTAACAACTGAGTTGGTCGTTGTAGATTATATAAATCAATCCGAAGCAAATTAATAAGTCTGGTTATGACCGATTCTTAAACTCATTAATAATTCATAAGACAAAATAAAAGAAACTTATGCTTAATGAGTGTCTTTATATCTGATAAAGACAAGGCTTAACTTTGTTCTATTTTTTAGACCACAATGATCCCAAATTTCAATATTAGTGCAAAAGTGAGTTGATCTATATCAGAGATTTTGAAGCCGTTCAAAAAACTTGCAGTCGCGTTATCAGGTTTAAAAACTCGAGGCGAGTTATTTGAGAAAAAAATACTGCGTGTTTCGGAACTTGTGCAAGCTATCCATGGAATGATACAAAATGCAGGGAAAAGGTCCAATTTATCAGTTTAAGATATGCGTATATTATATGACTGAATTTGAGTGAATTTCGCAGGGGCATAGAACCCTTAACGCAAATACGCACGTGCGTGTACTTGAGAAATTGGTAGGATCTTTTTAAAGATTTTCTGTCATAAGTAAAAGCCATTTGAAGCGTCGTGACTTGACTTTGTATTGTGCAGATTTGTTCGTGTCTGTCTCGCTGTTATTTTGCATCGTTTTTACACGTAAAATACAACAGTTTGAGTACTGGAATGTGATGAATTGGAAACATTCTTGAAACGTTTGCCTTCAGACGATCCCACAATGAATTGCGTATTCATGAAAAAAGGAAAAAAAATAGACCCTCACTGATTATCATTCCTTTCAAGATTTTCCTGGAAAGTTTTCTCAATCAAAAGCTAAATTTTGAAAGAAAATTTACTCCTAGCGAACAGATGTAGTTTTTTTTTAATGACAAAGATCAGAGCTATTCAGTGCAACTGAAAATATTAAATAAATGCTGACTATTATTGTTTGTTTCTTCCCTGTGCGCATGATCGAAATAAGGGAAAAACTCAAAAGTCAGCAGGGGTCTAAGGGTGCGGAAAATTTACACTAACATGCACATGCCGCAATTTTTTCCAACCAATGCTTTTCAACTGTCCAAATTTCTGCTTAAAAAGGAGCCTTGCCTAGTGCTGATAAACATTCAAGTACCAGCTCAACGAAGAATGTTTTAAAAGCTTTTTTGATATCACGTTCTAAGTAAACAAGCCTGTAAACTGCCGAAATAATTGTGTATTAAAGCAAAGCAAAACGTTATTTTGTACGAAGTTTTAAAATCATATGGACCCGCTCTACGCCCCTGATTCGCAACGGTCAACTGGAGTATTTCTTCCCAGAGTCTGTCTTTATGACGTCGATAGTTGAGGGTAAAATTATTCCAAAAGCACAGTAACACAGATATAGCCCAGTGAGGAGTCAGAGGTCGGAGCTGAAACATTTCCCCTTCACCATTCACGGTGGAAATATGAGTTTACTGGTTTTAATTGATCCATTGTTAACATGTTTCCACGGAGAAATTCCTCAGTTAACGCGAGTGAAACCCAAAGCTTCCAAATCAGTTTTTCTACACGAACATGTAATTGTTTATCTCTGATGTTTAACTTCGTTTCACCTCGCTGAACGTTCTTCCTCTGTTGATTTTTAAGGAGTGCATTTTTAAGAAAGCATCAGACACTACTGGGTTGCGTGTCTTCTGGAGTGGCAATCTTCGTCTTTACAACTGCCATGGATGCTGCAGGCGGTGGTATTTCACTTTCAACGGTGCTGAGTGTTCAACCCCAGGTGCCATTGACGGAGTGGTCTACATGCTATATGGAAATGGCGGGAAAAAGAACTTACACCGTCCACGTCACATCGAAGGAGTCTGCGAGAAAATCCACAAGGGTACTGTCCGTGTAGGATTCTGGGTCGGCAATTGTGCTAGTCACGGATCTGCTGATGCTTACACAGGCTGGAACTCAGTATCCCGGATATACGTGGAAGAAGTACCTCCCCCACAGGCTTAATAACAGCAGAGCCAAAGTTTCTGTTTCACTTTCAAAGATAACCATGAACAGAGTAATATTTCGGGGGTAATCAGTAAGCAAACTGAAGTAAATTTTGATTATTAGAGCCAGGGGTTTACTTTTTCGCATTAAATCTCTTTTGAAAGTGTAGGGTTTCAAGCTTCAGAAGCTTACATTACATGTTAAAGGTAACAACAATGTTTGAGCGACTTTTTGTTATCTCAATATATAAAAGGGCTTTAAAATAAAATAAATTGCGTGAAATATGAATCTACTACCCTTCCCGACCTTTAGTTTCCCTTTGTTATCTTCTTCCTGATTCTTTGGTTTATCATTTAAGATTATTTTTCTGTGCATATTTTTTACAATAAAGTAACAGAAGTCTGCATCAAATTCAGAGAGATAAGTTATCTTCAGCTGATGGTACCAAAAAAGGGGCACTCAACGAGCGATCGACCCTGACAACTTTGGTAAATTTGGAGGTTCCCTAAATACTATTTATCTGTTTGGATGTCTTAGGGGAGGTTTAATCGTCTCAAAAGTTTGAGGTGGCGTTTTTGTCTCATCTGCTCTGAAACTGTTAGCTACCCTGATGGGTCCGTTCGTAAGTTTGAGGACATGGAGGTAGCCGCACCTTAAATAGAAGATTCTACTGCGGAACGTTTTGAATTTTTACCGAAATATTTGGAAGACCTTCTTAAACAATAATCGCGCGCAATATCTTGGTAATAAAATGTGAAAAACTCCCAAATTGAAAAAAATCGTATGAAACCGAATATTTTAGAGGAATGTAACTTTTATCCACAAAATTCTAGCCTTTCTCGAGCTTAAGAAAGACTAAAGGCATTATTTTCTCTTGCCAAACCGAAATTTGGCTCGAATTTCATTTTGAAAGTGCCGTGGGACTGTCGTTGCAAAATGCTACTGTTAATTTTACACGTAAAGAGCTAAAACTGAGCTCGAATGAAGAATAAGGTTACGGAAATAAGACCGCGATGATATAATGCTGAATTCAGAACAGAGAAAGGTCTTCTCACACTAAAAGTTTAGTCACAGCCACTTCGCCGCGGATGCCAAACCTTCACTCACGAAATCAAATTGTTGCTTGACCTTATTCGCTTAATGAGGCAAAATATTTGACCGTCAGCGATTTTTTTGCCTTGTGTGGTAACGTTTGAGTCTTCAATGAGGTAAATTTATTCCTTTCTTGGGGAGAAAGAAAAGTGTTTGACCAGAGATCAAAACGGTTGACTTATTGAAGAAATTTTGGATCGGTAACTTTTGCGCATTCCCGCACTTTAAAAGCTACAATTTAGCATCTGGAACACTGGAACTGCAGCATAGTCCCGCACTCAAAAATAAAAAGGGATGTTTGGGTATTGGCTAAGCAGAAGAGCTTCCTTTTGGCTTGACAGAAAACGGCTTGGCTAGCATCAAAAGACATGTTTCAGCAAAATTCCCAATTGCAAATGGGTTAATATTAATAATAGTAAAAATAATGCTGATGACGATGATGAAGATAATAACAATCGAAAAAGGAGAAGCTTATCATTTAGTTCCAAAGTCCATTTTATTGCTGAATATACGGGTAATTTGGAAGGTGAACACTGCCTTGGATTTAGTTCAATCTTTTGAACTCAATAATGATGGTCAGTTAACAAATACATTTGTATCATGGCCTTTAGCCGTTAAACTGGGAATGCACTTTTCCAGAAAGTTTCCATGACCACCCATTAGGCCACAAGGATTATACCTGAAAAGTTATACATAAGCCCTCAGTTGTTCAAAAGTTGGATAGCGCTATCCACCAGATAAATGACTATTCAACGAATAAGTGTTAGGGAAAGCAATAATTGCGCTATCTAGTGGATATATATCAATTATTCACCGAAGTGGAGGTGGCTAGTCCTGGAGATTTACCGAACTGCGAAGCAGTGAGGTAAATATTCACGACTAGCCACCGACAGTGAGATAATTGAGCACAAAAATGACGATTTTTAACTCAAATACCGTTACCAACGATTACAATTTTGGCGCGTAATGACCGGGCGGCCGTGGCCGTCGCTTTTTCTTGCCGACAATTAAAACTTTTGAAGGCATTTGTTTAGCTCTTGCGGGGAAGTTTCTTCAAAGGAGTTGTGAATTCTTTTTGTATTTAAAATCATTCTACAAAAAAAGATTATTAAATTTAGTTTTAAGTTTATTTATGAACAACTCAACTAAAAAAAGTAACGCAAAACTTTTTCACCGGTTTTATCGATAAATTCGAGTCAAAAAGACAACGCTTTACCTGTTTAAACTTCCAATCCGATCTTCGTCATCTTCTTCGTGTATTTCGGAAACAGCTTGCTTGATTAGTTGTGAAATTTCTTTGTTTGTTTACGGCAGCAAACCGGGAAGGCATTTTGCTCGCAACTTACGCGAGTTTGGCGTCGCTCGCTCGGAGGAAGTGAATCAGTGAATAGTGCAGGATAATCACTGATTGAGTAGCCAATCAGAGCGCGCGAAAAACGCTATCCACTGTTTTAGTATACAGCTATTTTGAGAAAGGTTGTCGGAAAAAGTGCACGCGACAATCTCGAAAGGTATTGTGGGTGTTTTTGAGTTCACTGTTATTCAAAGAAATTTGAGAGAATGGCACGAGAAGCCATGGACATATGTTTGCTAGTGCTAAAGTAAGGTAACAAAAGTAGGTTCGACAGCTATAGTGTCAGGAACAGTGAATTGATCGTATCCCATATTACCTTTCAGGATTCTCGCGTGCACATTTTTTTCCGACAACCTTCCTCGAAATAGCTGTATACTAAAGTGATTTATCCAGTGGATAGCGTTATCCACATTTTGAACAACTGGGGCCGGTACTTTTAGTAGAGTTAGAATGACTATTGAGGAAGAGAATGGACCATAAGAACAAGTTTAAAAATAAAGCCAGGGTGATTAAATATGTTCTCCAAGTATTAAAACGTAGTAAAGAATTCCTCCCACTCTCATTACCCCATGAGGTAATATTATGAGGAACATACAAAAGGTTAAAATTCGTTACAAAAGTTGTTTAATACTATTCTACATCTGTTGCTAAGGAATAGATAGATATATTAATAGCCCATTTCCGAGTTCCTGTATGATTGGAGACTGGTGCCGAAATAACGCACGGGAGCGAGGCTTCGTGCGAAGTCCCTCTTGGCGGCGCGAAAAATAAAAAGCGATTGAGGGGTTTTCACTGCTCTGAATGTTTTAATATTTATGAGATGGTCTACTGCTCAGTCGCCTGCTGCAATAATGGGAATCACAATCGAAATGATCTGTCATATTTTATTTTTCCTTCGGACAAGAGGCTTGGAAGTTGGATAAAATTCTGCCGCCGAGCGGACAAAAAGTTTTCAGTGGAGTCAGCGAAGGCAAAGGCAGGAAAGAGCAACAATTTGCGGATTTGCAGCGCTCATTTTGACCCCAAAGCCTATAGAAAAACTTTGAACGGTAGGAGAAAAACATACAACACTGCTCTGCCAACTATATTTCGACCAAACGATGAATGCACACCGAGAAGTGTTCGTTACGAAACAGCACGGAAGAGAAGACGGCTGGAGTTTAGCGACTGCAAAACAAACACTCTCTTGCCAAGCCAGGTTTCGCTTGCTGATGCAGATGGAGAAATTACTACAGATCTGGTGGATGTTCGATCGTCTAATGCTGATTTCTGCGATGTTCAGCATGACCATTCGTACTGCCTTTCAGCAGAAGATGATCGATCTTCGACAGTGTTGTTACAAGATACCGAACCTGAGATGATAAGGTCAGTGGGTTGTCAAACTGACATGACTTTGTTCGATTTAGAACAACTGGAAAATGAAGTTAAAAACCTCAAAAATAGACTTAACGATAAAGCTAAACTAAAACGTGACTTGTTCATGGAGGATGTCCTTGAAAATGATGATTCAGTGAAGTTTTACACTGGAATTCCCACACTGGGATGTTTCAATTTGATTTCAGAATTGATAAAGCCAGAAGCTGAAAAGCTCAAATACTGGGACAAAAACAAGAATAAACAAATGAAATACCAGACAACATCCAACAGCAAACCTGGACCTAAAAGAAGTCTAACACTGACTGAAGAATTGGTTTTAACTCTTGTGAGGCTTAGACTTGGATTGATGGGAAGACAACTGGCTGACACATTTTCTGTTTCACAGTCACAGTTAAGCAGGGTATTCACAACATGGGTTTGCTTTCTTGCATCCATATTTCAAGAGGTACTAGTACTCTGGCCAAGTAAAGACGAAATTAAACGAAACCTCCCTCGCTCATTCAACAAGTACCCCAATACACGAATAATAATTGATTGCACAGAAATGTTTATAGAAAAACCCACTTCTCCTTATGCACAAAGAGCAACTTGGAGTGAATATAAGGGGCACAATACCATAAAGGCTCTTGTTGGAATTACCCCCTCTGGCTATTTTAGCTTTCTCTCCAAATTTTGGACTGGAAGTACCAGTGACAGGAAAATCACCCAGGAAAGTGGACTGGTAGACATGCTAGAGGAGGGCGATTCAGTGATGGCTGACAGGGGTTTTAACATTAGAGACATCCTTACAAAGAAGAAAGTTTATCTTAACATTCCTCCCTTTTCTAAAAAAGGTAAGATTTAATTGGTATATTTAACATTTTCACTAATAAGGTTTCCCAGAGTTCAACTGATAATTCTCAATTTTATACTAAGAAAAAGCTGTCAAAATATCACTTTAGCTTACCTTTGTAATAACATTAGACTTTAAAAGCCCTTATAAATGTAGGTACCAAACTATGTAATATTCTTAAAAAAACACATATACCATAAACTTATGATAATAAGCCCTGGACTTGTATTTGCTAAAAGGTTTTTTCGCAGGGGCTTATTATTGGAAGGAATTTTGCAATTCAAAATGGGCTGGGCTTGACTATAAAAACAGCTTAAACCACTAAGATGACAGCCTACAAAAGCTAACCATAACAGTCTATGGGCTTATATTCGGGATGGCTTATTATCAGGAGGAGATTTG